ACTTCACCATAACACCGAAGACGGTACCAGTAGTTAGCCTCACCCCAGCTACAGAAATGGCCAATAAGGAGCAACAAATTCTCTGATGCAGAAGCAGAACAACTGAGGCTCAGGGTATCTGCCGCCCTAACCTTTCCATTCAGGAAAGGAGCATGCTGGCATCCTTACAGACAACACCATCTTATCAGCGGGTAAAGGAAGACGCACAGTGCGGCTGAACACAGAGGACCGCTCTTCTCAGCGTCACAGACACTAATGAAGCTCTTAAACTGGATCCTTCTAGCACTTAAAAGAAAACACCAACTGCACTCACTGGAGAAGGAAAGGTTGATTGACAGACCACAGTACTACTGGCTGTAACCATGGGAAGCTATTCCTTTTATTTATGGGCTTCTGAAAATTCATAAAGGAGTTCCACTCAGACCCATCGCAGCAGCATGCAATATCTCCAAACACCTGGCTCCCATCCTTACTCTTATGGTTGGAAACCCTCCTCATCACATCAAAAACTCCCAGGACTTTACCAACAAGATGAAGGATCTGAAAATACATCCAGGTTTTTGGCATACAACGTGAATACATAAGTGACTGGATAATAATTAAAACTCTGTAAGTGATGATGAAAGCTCAGCTGAGATCACAATCAACTGTTTCTGTTGCTTTATAGACAGATGATATAAAATATTTGCTGACAGAACATCATTACATTTGATTTAGCAGTCGATGTTTTTTCCTCTAAGAATTATAAATGTAAGACTCAGCAGTGCAGCCTGTCTAAAATCAGTGCCAATAAGAGGAGATTCATATGAATCCAACAGGGATCACTGATGTGTGGAAGCTGAATCATTTTGTATCATCGAGGCGTCTTGAGTGTTTATAAAGTCAGAGAGGCTAAACGGCTCTTCATGATGAATCACTTTGACCTCCTCTAATTCTGACTGCTTCAGCAGCAGCGGAGCATATTTCCATCATCTCCGGTTTGCAGAGTGTGAACAGCTATCAGAGAAGTCATGTGCCCACACTAAGCAAACAGCAATAATGACAACAATAACAAGACAATTAGTCTTCAATGAGAAGATCATTTTACTGACAGCTAAGTCGTTCAATCTAACACCGAAACAAATTTGGCCTGTCTTTCTGACAATACTGCAACCCAAAAGCTTTCCTGTATCATGCTGATCCCCTTTTTAAAACTCAAATGTACTGCAGTGTCACAATGCTGGATGTCCATACTAAATGTGGGTGGAGTTTCAGATCGTGAGGTAAACGTATACTGGAGTAATCCCTGTTCTGCAGAGTTCGCTGAACGGCTTGTTCCGCAAATCATGCAATAGTTTCCTGATTTCAAACCCACGCCTCACAAGACGGCTTCAGGCCTCTGCTTAAGATGTTGAAACCTCTTACATAGGCTCTCTTCTTCCAGCACTGGAGAGCAGCCCTCCCCTGGCAGCCCTGCAGCGTTCTGCCCGCCCAGAAGGCAACTCGGAGCTGGCCAATCAGAAGAAAGTGGGCACTGGGGGAAAGGTTCCTTTAAGGGACAGCAGCTGTTCAGGCAGAGGCTGAAATAAGTGTTTTAAGTGACGTCAGTTTAAGATAATAAGGTGTTTTTCACGCTCATGCAACGGTGCTCTACTTAGTTCATCACAGACTGACAACATGAGAGAGAGGGATTGTTAATTATTCTAAATGTGTGACTGCACTGACTATTAAACCTTGTATTTCAATTCATGTATGATTCCAACCTTAATGAAAAAACATGCAAATCTCTTAGTCTTTGAAAAAACATTTTTTTTATTTTCATCAAACAGGATTTATCTGTAACAAACAACCAGAATATGTTTTAAAATCTTCTGGATATATATGTTTTTTTATGGAATGTCACTCAAACTCACTGACATCACTTTTATTCACCGATACCGTTACATTATTATAGTTACACTGAGAACCTTTTCCTTTTTCACCTCAAACCCGGTGTGAAAATGAAACTAGACCACTATCGGCAAAACCTGAATATGTACTGACGCTGATACACAGATCCCAACATGAAACCATTCTGATACAGTTGACCTTTATATATAATGGATAATGAGAATAACTCCAACACAGAAACACTGAGTTTAGCTGTAAGCCGGGTTTGCTGGCTGCAAACTAAAAGTTCTTTATCTTCTGTTTTGTACGATCTAATATCAATTAACATGAGTTTTGTATTTGCCCTGCATGGCAGAACCAAACACCTTTTTTATCAAAAGTGAGACATGATCAAATATTTTACTGTATTTATACAAGTGAACCAGGATGTCCATTCAGAGTGAACTCTTTCTTTGAGGGAGACTTTAAACGTTTTCTACATTTTACATTTTATTACTTTTATTAATTTAACTAAACCGGGAATAACCTTGAAATATTCATATTTATTTTTTGTTGATGCAGTCCTGGAGTGAAATGGCTCCAAATGCAACTTGAATTGAAACATTTTCCTTTTTTCTTTCCCTTAATTACAGCTGTGTGTTGTTCCCTGTGCCGTTTGTCCCTTCTCCCCTCCTGTTATCTCCGGCTCTGCCCAGGTGGAGCTACTGATCGCACTACGAGGTGCACCAGGGGTACGTGTCACGTCTCTTATTTTTCAGTCCTTCTCTCCTCTGCTTCGTTTCATTGCGTCTCTCGGTGCATCTCTGATGGGAGGGACTAAGAAGCAAGTGAAGGAAACGTGGATGCAATTTAAAAGATATGAGACGTACCCCTTGTGTCAGTGCTTAAAAACCCAGTGCTGCGTTCAGGAGGAGAGAGGCTTTTAGAGTTGCACTGCTCTGCCTTTCAACCTGGGATTGTGTGTCTTGTTTATTCTGTCATTTGTTAACTATTTAGTTATTTTTGTATCTTATTAAAATCCCTTCGTTGTGACTCTATCAAGGTGTTTTATGTCACTGAATCGAGTCAGATTGTGGGATGTTGTTGGCCACATGGGGCTGCCTTATGGTGGAGTGTAACACCTTCCATATCAAGTAACAACTTTTTCTTTAGCTTTGGTAACATGTTAATTTGTAAACTCAGATTACTTGGGGTTTTTTCTCTTGTGTTCTTCAGAAATCTGATTAATTCAGTTTAAGAGTGAAGAGTGAGGAGCAGCTGCTGCAGAATTGATGCACAGCACAAGAAAGTGCTTGTTAACACCAGCGACAGAAACAGGGCCTGTATCAACAGTTCATCGCATGTTGTGGGGTTAAAAATAAACTGCATAGGTTAAGTTTAAATCGTCACTTTAGAGTTTGATCAACTTTTGCCATTAAAATCACATCTGTGCTTTGTGGTCTCGCAGAGGAACTGTGGCGTGCGTTTGATAAACAGCTGCTGCCAATCCTCCTTTGTGCTCCTCAACCTGCCTCCATCAGCTGTACACATGGGAGGTTTTGCTTTAATGTCATTTTTAATATGACATTTGCTGTTTCCAGTACATCAGTGTCGCTGTTATAAAAGTGTCTCTCTCATTTTTGATTATCTTTTCTCCTTTCTATCCAGTCACAATGCACTTGTCAGACTGCAGCAGATTAGCATTTGAAAAAACACATTAACTGTCTCTGTCGTCGAGCGTCGAGCGAGGTGACAGACGGCCTCACTGTTACAGAGTCTGTGCTGCTGTCAGCATTAAAAGCTTTACCCTACAGAAGATCCCAGCGGGCGGCTAACATCACGGAGGAGAAAAACTTTTAAGTGGGCGCAGCGAGAGAAAGCAAAGTGAAGTGGAGGATAAAGGCTTCTCGGGGAAGGGGACCCACATGTTTAGACGTATGGAATGAGGAAGTCTAGAAATGATCAAAGTTTATGGATGAAACTGAAATTTCCACCATGTTTACGTAAAATAAAATATGAGGAAGAATAAACTGAATGACCCTGTGAGTACTTCACTGCCCTGATTATAGATCAGATAGCTCAGCCATTCATAAACATGGTAATGAGACATCCAGACTTCTGACTAGGATTTAATTTATCATGAACAAAGTTACTGTGATTATCTGAAACATGACAAACACAGAAACCATACTCGAAAGATTCAACTCGTAATAGCTTGAATTATTTCTGTGGTAATGATAAAATAATAGGGCCACTTTCAGCTGAACTTTTTAAAAAAGGTATCCTGGACATAAATCTTCAACACTTCATCACATATATGCCCTTTAAAATTTTACACAGCTAGCAACTTTTGCTTATTTACACATCCAGAAATTTGTTTGACCGCCTGAGGGATGAGATCTCAAGTTTCAAACAGCTTTAAATTCATTTTTCACTGGAAGGAGAACTTCATTTCTTTGTCTACAGAGCCTTATTGGCATTTACATATTTATTTTATTTTGTATTTTTTGGGGGAGGGGGCATTTTTGCCTCCACTACATAGGACAGCTGAAGAGAGACAGAAAACAACGGGTAGTAGATAGTGTGCGAAAACGTGCAGCAAAGAGCTGAGGTCGGACTTGAGCCCACGGCCGCTGCGACGAGGACCACAGCTTCTGTACATGGGGCAAAGGTCATAACCACTTGGCTATCCTGCGCCCTCTTAACAGCATCTCTTTAATTATCTTTCTGCTTCAGAATACTAATTTCAATTTAGAATATTTCAACTTCAGCATCTAACATTTTATCTGCGTGAATCGATATTCTAACGTCATGAATGTGGGCTCATTTATGTAATTTCAAAGGGGGGTATTCTCTCCCTTAAGACCATGTGCTGCTTACTGAAGGTATTGTCCAGTCAGGGGTAAAAATTGGATGGTGCAAAAAATTAAAAAAAAGCTAAGTTTGGAGACATCACAAAGTTAATCCCTTAATGGTTCATGTGTTTCCCCCTGAAAGACAGGCAGAACCACTTTAAGGGGACGGAAACAAAATCCTACCGACTTCAAGTTCTCTCATTTGTCCAAATCCTTTTCTTTCTCTTTTAAAGAAACCAAACTACATGAGAGTGTCGCTTTGCATTTTTCATACCGAAAAAAACACTGATTCCTCCATTAGTTCCAACATTTCAGTATAACAAAGTGACTTCAGCCAGAAGTTGTTACAAAGACATCACTTCAACATTTACATTTGAAATAATTTACAGTTGAAACTTAAGATCCAACACTGTTGCCTGTTTTCTGTATTTACAATTTACAGTAAAGCAACAGAACGACCACCACGCTGTGTGAAAAGTTCAGTTTTTTTATGCCTCCACATTTCTGGCAGCAGCAGCGAAGTCTCTGATTGGCTCTCAGCGCAGTTCAAGTCCTGAGGTGAGGCAGGACGCTACCTGTCTGCAGCCTCTGCTGTTAAAACACACCGGTCCCTCAGGTCGTCTGTCCTCCAGTTAAATGAAATACTCCTTTGGGTTTTCACAGGAGACGTTCTGTGAGTCAGTCTGGTTGTTGAAAGGGAAGTCCTGACTGTCCTCCTGTTTGACTCCCTTCACTTCCTGGTTTCGGTATGTCTCTTTTCTCCTGTACAGGAATCTGGCGGTTACCACCAGGCCGCTCACGATCACAAAGATCACCACCGCTATGACACCTGTGAGGACGAGGAGGGACACCATGTGAAAGGCTGACATAGCAGATAATTAACTTTTTTTTTAAATTCAATATTTAAAGACTTAAAGAGGCTCCTCTACAATCAGACAAGATCTATTCCAATTTATTCTCCCGTTGTACCGCGGTTTCATTTCCTGATGTTTCGATGATCTTTCAAAGTATATTAAACTCATTTGAAATCTTTCTGTATCTATCGGACATTTCTGCCCTGCTGAGCTCATTCGAGAATATGAGGGCAAGTTTCATCTCATTGGAATTTTAAAATACGCCCTGAAATCAATTTAATACATTGCAATATAAAGACTCCTCACTTTTTTACGATGGCTGCAAAAAAAAAGTTTTCTCATCAGCGAGTCCTTCCTGCAAATGTTTTAATTAGGTGATGTGCCCTTTGTGCACTGAGACACAGTCACAGGCTACTTTAATGGACAGTTTGAAATGACTTTTCTCCGTGTCTCACCTTTCCTATCTACAAGATTATAGATTGAACCTTTGCAGACTTCACTTTGAATCAATCTGTGCTGGCAGTGCAACAAAGTTTTCAAATGAGTTTTAAATGGACTCTTCTTGCCTTCACGCTTTCTTGGAGCTCAACATTTGTCCTGAACTTTTCTCGCCCCGGCAGAGGTGAAGCGTACCTTCTTTTTAATCATGATCTTTGTCACCGTGTCACAGTGACATAGTGACAAAATTAAAGATACAATATGTAGATTCCACCACCAGGGGGCTCTCAATTCATACTACAATAACAAAAGATGACGTCGAGGCTATAGTGGGGAATCATGGGAGTTCTCTCTGCTAACAAATAATTGACATGACGTTTTCATCACAGCAGCCCGTACAGCAACAGTACGGCAGCTTTCAGTAGGAATTACCGCTTCTTAAGTAGCAGCCTTTGACGTAACATTCAGTGTTTCCACGGCAACGTTCCGTCTGTCATGGCGGCCGCCTCGACAAGACACATTACAGATTTCTCTGGCTTTAATGCTGCATTCATGTGCTGCTCGGGTGGTCCAAGTTTCCGAGTTGGGAAGTCGTTCTTCCGACTTCAGTGTGTTCACGTGATTTCAGTTCGGAAAGTCGGAATGTTGTAACAACAGCACAGAAAAGCGTTGATGCTACGAAGAAGATCAGTTAAATGTAAACTGTTAAAAGTGATATTTGAGCAAAAATTTGATGTGCAATACTTGAATTAATAGAAAGTATGTTAACGTTGACAAAATATAGTTTGCCCCCCATTTGATGGCGATTCTGAGTCGGGAAGTTTGGGCAAATAATTATTTTCCGAGTTTCCGAGTTGTTGTTCCGACTTCATGTGCATTTTACAACTCGGAAACTTGTTTTTCCGATGTGTCCGACACCACATGAATGCAGCATAATTACTGTTTGAAATATTTAAGGTAATGTAAGTACACAACGAAAAAAAACAAAAACAGGTTAAGTACATTTTTAATTAACTTAGATATTTGAATGTCGTCATAACTACATATTGTACGTTCAACATCACAGACTTATCTCAGACTTCTATACAACCGTGCTGCTATTTGCGACCAAAGAAGTCGCCCCCTGCTGGCCATTAGAGAGGAACCAGGTTTAAGGCACTTCTGCATCGGCTTCACTTTCAGACTCCAAAGCTACAAGAACTTCAAACATACATTTGGTGACAAAAGAGAGGTTGCCGTTAAAGTACAGGAATGAAAAGAAAAAAAGGTTCAGTACCTCCGATCAGAGCTGAGTCAGTCCTGATGGCATTGACTAAAGGCTCACCTGAACCCACAGAACCAGAATGGTCTACAAAAGAGAGGGAGAGAGAGAAAGGATAGCATTGGAGGAGGAGGAGGAAGACAGCGGGGAAAAGACAAAAAACACCAACTTGCACCAAGCAGCAGAAGAAGTACAAATTGTCAAAACGAGGAGGTAAAAAAAACAAGCTGAAAGGCTAATAAGCAAACAGATAATCCAATTAGATCAGAAAGAGAGAGACAATAGAAAAATCCAGAGACAAAATGAGAACATCAGCATTCAGAATAGGCAGGGGGAATACTGCATTAGCTCTCCAATGACTCTAATAAAGCATCACAAACTGCATGACAACGAGCGCAGAGGAAATTAAATCCCAGAGGAAATGTTCCTCCTGTGTGGTCCAAATTAATTAAAGCGCTGATCACACTGTCATTAGTCTCACACAAACAAGGGGAATACTGTACGCCATTAATGAGCCTCGAGCGATTTGGAAAAGCAGCTTTCATGCAATTTTGGAAAGAGACAAAGGGACTGTATGCTGCTCTGCTTTAGATAGACTAACCCCCCGAAGTGGAGAGACAGAAACCAAGTGGTATTTAAACTGGTAACCAGCTTCTTATTTGATGCTACCAGTTAAAAATAAAATCCTTTTTTTGTTCTCATCACATTTGAAAGCCATTTTCCATTTATTCTTTTTACATCTGTTCTATAAATTACAGCCTTGTGTTCTTTCTTTATTTTTTTTAAATCATTCTGTTTCCATGACAACGACAATAGCATCAGAACATTTGCACAGCCAGATCAACTTTTGTTGCTTAATTTTTCTCACTAATGACTGTGCTGCATGAGAGCGCAGCAGGTCTGAATTAGCTGAGCGTGAGATGTTAACCAAAGACACTTTTCCCGGTCTGGAATAAAACTCTGCACCTTTTGTTGTCACATCCAGCTGCACTGACTGAGTCTTCTTCTTTAGTGCTTAAAGGATTGAGCTGAAGGTATCATATATTCTTGTTGTTATCATCTAATCCCATAAAGATTAAATCAACAGTGTGTTGCTCCATCTGTCAATATTGTCCGCTGCTCTCAGTCCAATAAATGAACACTAAAGATACATTTATAAACACTGTACACTCATATTTCAGCAGCAAGGGAGTGTGAACATCAGGAAGGCGAGGGATACTAAGGAGAAATCCTTCCTGCATATTATCCCATCTCCCCCCGTCCCATTTTTCTTTTGAAACATAACAAAGATGAAGGTATTTTACCTGCTTTTAGTAAAGCGTCTCCAGATAACTTTTGTTTTGACTCGAGGTTATACAAATAATTATTGATTGATTGATGATATTTATAATAAAGAAGGCAAATACAATTTTTATTAAACAATTGGGTACTGTAGTTTTTTCAATCTTTTTTCAATCAATCAATCAATTTTTATTTGTATGGCGTCAACTCATAACAAGTGTTATCTCGAGACACTTTACAAAAAGCAAGTAAAATACCTTCCTCTTTGTCTGTTAACATTACAAAAAGCAGGTAAAAGACCTTACCATTGTTATATAACAAAGATCCGGCCTATCCATCATGAGCACTTCAGCAAAGCAGCAAAAGTTACAGTGGTAAGAAAAAACTGCCTTATTTGAACAGTGTTTATCAGACTTGGCTGCATGGGTAATATTCATTGTTAAATCTTATTAGATTAGACGTTTATTGCCTTTTGCAATGTACAGCTACATTGGAATTTTTGTGCATTTCTCCCTGAGTCAGCTCTACAAACAAGTTAAAAGTTAATTTGTATGCAGTATTTGGTCTTTTGAAGAAAGTTTACTGGCACATTTGATGACGTTAACAATAAAAACATGCAGTTCTTCCCCAACATAGTCTTGTTTCTCTTATTTTTACATTTCAATAAGATTCATAATGTTTGTGTTCTTCACTCTGTCAATTCTAGGAGTGACAACCTGCAGGAGCACGACTCCAGGACGTTTCCGCACTACATATAAACTGCCAAACACAACATCACTTTTCATTCATCGTCTTAATGTGTTCACTTTCTGTCAAATCTGCTGAGAGAAAATTACAATTATATTTATTTTCTGTCATAAAAGTGAGGATATTAAGAGTCCTAAAGATTGATGTGGATTTGCTAAGACCAAGCCGTGTTACCTGACAGGTGGTGTGTGTTCTCTGCTGCGTAGGGATTGGCTGAAGCCGAGGAGCCACAGTTGGACTGGAGTAAAGGTCCGGTGATAACGACGGGGCTGGTGTCCGGGTGGAGCAGAGCGGCTTTCAGAGGGCTGATGGAGTTAAAGTTAACCACGGACAGGCAGCCGGTGTAACCGATGGACGCCACCCGGGCCAGGTCTGGATCCAAATCATCAGAACCTGCATTTTAAAAAAAAAGAATAAAAGAGAGGTCTGCAAAATCATTTTAATATGTATAAAAAGCAGCTTAATCAAATAAATAAGCTGAACACTCAAAACTGTTTCTGCTCCCCACTGACATGTTGTTTAAAACAGAATGTTTCAAAACATGAAACCACATGGTGATGTTTAATGACTTCTTATAACCCTTCTCATTGTCCCTGCAGCAGAGACATTTGATTCATCTCTATAAATGGATGTCTACACATTCAGAATTCAGAATATGTATAAAATGGGCAAAAACGTTCTGTTTCACCTGTAGCCAAAGTAGTATTGACCAATCACGTCTGAGCAGGATCTGTACGGTCCATAAGGAGAGCAAATGATACAAAAAAACATTGTTTGAATACAAGCACCAGCACCCAGAGGCTATTGCTAAAATTCCACCAAAATATCGGCACAAATACACGAGAAGATCTGGTCATTAAAGTGGTTTGTCAACCTGAACTCTGTTATTTGGTTTAGCAGATTGCATGCAATTTTGACAAAGAAATAAAGACACAAAGGAGACACAAGCTGATCTAAAGTATTTACTGTATCTCCCTGCTTATTATTCAATCCTACTATTAGTCTCATAGTCTCATTGAATTTGGTGTCCTTCTATTGAAAAATGTTGAATCCACATTTTCCAAAAGTGGATTTCGATATCTTTTCAGTCTTAAAAGTTTTGCTAAAAAACATTTCCATGACATAAACGAGAGCTATAGACTCATTATTGAGTCTCATGTTCTTCATCAGACTGTAAACAACGATTAAAAGATGAAAGATGAAGTCCAGGCCTCGGTATACTTTATTTATTATCCGAACATTGGAAAAAATTGGCCGTTGATCAATCAGCTACTACTAGCAACTAATTCCCAGTAGTAGCTGACTGATCCAGGGATTTGTTGTTATTTTCCTTCATAATGAATGGAGACTCTTTTACTCTCTGTAGAGTAAATGGCACACATGTTTACAGAGCTAAAGGAGGGGTACTTTTTATATAGTCAGCTAGAAGTTCAAAACCAACATGCATTCAAAAGAGCACAACATACTGTAATTCTATATATCAAATATGTTTCATAAAATGTCCTAGTTTCTGGTTGTAAATAGCGTCATATCAGCAGAGTAGCTGATTGGTCCTTGGAGCAGAGAAGTATCAGCTACCAGTACATTCACTAACTCTGATGCAGACTGTCCTGTTGTCTCTCACTGTGGGAACATTTGGTGATTTATAATCATTGAACTGATTGAGCACACTTGAGCGCTCTTCACTCATCATGCTGAGCATTGCACTGATTATTTGTGTTAGATTTGTTGGTTTAACAAGACCACGGGACACAGAGTGACATCAAATCAGGATCAGTAATGCTCACCTCCGTCCAATCAGACGGGAAAACCAAACACACTCGCCCCTCTCGTTATAGTCAACAAGCTGTCAGTGACTCAGCTTCCAGTCTGCATCCATCACTCCACCAGACAGATTTTCACTCTGGCCTCTATCCGCTCATTTTATCGACTGTAATGCCTTCATCGTTCCTCCTCCTCCCCCTCCTCACAGCAGAGTAAACAGCAGCTGTGAAAGGCGACATCAGCGCCGTAAACAGCTGCATCAGTGTCTGCTCTGATGACTGAGAGGTGACAGTGGTTTTAGCAGAACACATCTGCATGTTGATGAGAGCGGCAGGAAACATTACAGCGGCCTCTCAGCAGAAACACGCCTCACTCCATCACCTCTCTCTCTCTCTCTCTCTCTCTCTCTCTCTCTATCTGTGTGTTTCCTCCAGGTCCATTAGTTAGGCTGATGGATGATGGGGTTGGCAGGAAACGACAGAAAATCCACGTTCCTGCAGCTTTTCTGGTCGTGATCTGCCTCTCTGCCTCCTCTGGTTTGACAGACGGGAGCACCGGTCACATGCTGACATGACGGGGTTAAAACACACCGAGCTGACCTACACTGTACTGGAGCTTTATACCCAAATGGACAACAGATAAAAGAGACTTTGAATGAGGTGCTAGATGAGATGTGTGTGTGTGTGTGTGTGATTTAGTATGATAATGAAATGAAACAGATTTTATCTTGTCAGTTATGAAAATAAACCATCTGATGGACGTTTTCAGTTCAATATTTGAAAACATTTTCTGCCTAAAAGTAGAAAGTGCAATTCCCAAGTCCTGATGGAGGGAAAAATCTTTAGACCGTCTCAGGCTGTATCTTTCCATCTGTATTGAATTCATGTAAAATAATAATAATGCTTGCTTCTGTGAGAGCCAATTAATGTCTTAGGTCTGAATATACAACCACAGCAACTTCCAACCAAAAACACTGAAACCTACACTGGTACTAACTGCAGCAGAGTTTTTCACATAGGAAACGACCAGTCGATGAACAAGGTTCATAAAAGATGTAACGTATTGACAAAATGTTGAAATGTTTCCAACAGAAACCACATAAAAAAAATAAAAATAAACAACCAAGTTCTCCATGTTCTCATAAACCTTCATCTTGTTACTCTAAGCTACACATGACTGAGAAATTCAATAATTTCCAGCAATTAAAAACAGGTCATAGTCAAGATGTCGTTTTCCTTACTTGCTGTTTTTGATGAGTGCTCTTTCTGTAGCTGATTAGGTATCGGGGTACGTGGTGAAAAACATTTATGGAATGTTGGAGCCCTGCAGCGTGCGAGCCGTCGTTCTCTTTGCTTGAGGCTATACAGATTGATAAAATACCGAACACTCGCTGACCAACATGTTTTCCCTTTTGCTTCACACTTCTTCAATCCAGCCTGACTTTGATGAAACGTTAACCTGAATCTGCATAGCCTTGACCTTTAACCTTTCACAAGGTTCTCTGGTGAAATAGATCTCTGGAAGCCCTGCAGCGTGCGAGCCGTCGTTCTCTTTGCTTGAGGCCGCACAATTTGACAAAATACCAAACATTCGCTATAACCAACATGTTTTCACTTTGGCTTCCTACAGGCTGGTTTTTCCCCCGGACACACTTTGATCACGTTCACCTGAATCTGCCTTAACCTTTAACCTTTCACCAGGTTTTCAATTGCATGTGCGTCGTTTCTTAAATGTTGTATAATCTTTATGGCCTCCCCAGTCATTTAATTAAAAGGTCAAAATGTTGCTCTCGGAGTAAACCAGAATATTTCAGACCACATTAGCATCAAAATGTGTTGCTCTACATGTGAGCCCCCGGTCAAAGTCTTACACAACAACAGATGCATTATGTTGCCAACTTGACTTTCAGTTTCTTGTTATCCGCAGCTCGTTGAACGCCTCATGATCAACTGATTTATTTTTTCATCTTCAAAACAGATTTCACTTCTTTACTTCTTCACAAGAGGCCACATATTGAGTGTCGGATGAGTCCAAACATCTCAGAGCTGTTGTTCTAATAAGTGCTGGTCTGAGTGCTCTCTCAAGTAAATCGACCTCGCCTCTGCATTTACCGTCTCCTGTCTTACCGAGCACTCTGCCCAACACCAGCGACTTGATAGCGTTGAATTCTCCGTCTGATGTCAGGTTGAAGTCTTCTCTGGGGTTTTTGTCGATCTGAGAAAAAAAAAAAAAAGAACATATTCCCTCTTAAATGTGAGTTAAACTTTTAGCAGCCTAATTAGTCTCATAGAACATAAAGCAGCAACTTGAAAATGATTCAAACTTATTAAGTGCAGTAGTCAGAAACTGAGGTGATTTCAGAATTTCACACTCCATATAGTTTTTAGAACAGCGGTTCCCTTTACACTTCATGTCCCAGCTCAGTGGGAGAAATAAGTTCATATACTTTGAGTGAAAAATTTTTTTTTAATGAGAGCTGCTCTGTAGAGTCTCAACATGTAGCTGTGCAGAGGACTGACGCTCAGAGAGGAGAAGTTTTACACCCAACCTCACCATTTAAAGGACATTTAACACTAAAGCTTCAAACACACCTATGTGGATTTATTTTAAAATACTGATACTGGTACTGGTTCAAGTCCTGATGCGGAACAAAGTACGGAAGCTGTAGCAGTGTGTGGCAGCCTCACTCTGATATCTCTCCACTAATGCATGTCCACAGGTCCTGTTTGTGCATGTGTGTGATTCGGGCCTAAGTCATGTTCCCCTCTGGTTCGTTCTTTGAGTGACATCAGAACAAAGTCTGTCTCACTTCATCCAATAATTGTGAGGGATTTTTCAATAAGAACAACAAATGTCAGCCGGGCGATGCTAGAAGAGGAGAGGTCAGGGGGTCATAAAAAGTCAGCAGGATTCAGCTCAAAGAAAATGTCATGACAATCCACCCATCATTATTGGAAAAAGTTGATAAAGATTTTTTGTCAGATTTAAGCCCTTAGCAGGTAACCTTTTTTGCTTTTAGTTACAAAGCCTGAGAGAGGAGGCAGAGTATGTTTTTTATGACTAGTCACTGATTACACAGTATTGTTCCTATAGTGTGTGCAGTGTGCTTTTTTTTAATCAAATTTTTGTTCTCCATCTACCAACAGATTCCTGACTCTTACTATTTGAAATGTAGTGGCATTTCTCACGATCAAACTTGACTTCAGATTAGACTTTTATTGCCATTCGCACCGTTAGTACAGGTACACTGGAACTTTTGTATGCACCTAAGAGTACACAAGCATGGCAGCTGAAAGGCAGGAATGAATTGGGATAGTTTTTGAACTTCTTTTAAAGGCTTTATATTTGATTTTTTTGATCCAGCAGATGTCGCCCTTGAGCACCAGCATGAAACCAAAACAACTCGCGCTGCATTGTTGTGTTAGCATGCTAATGCTAGCGATCTTTATTATGCTGGTATCTTCACACTGCATGTAAATTTACCTGAAATGAGCGTGATCTAGAAACACAGTTAAACAGTGAGTACAGTATGTTATTCTTCTTTTCTCTAGTCCCTCAATTAAACAACTTTTATACACAAGGGGAGGAGTCAGCCGGCTGTCCGGGCGATGTAAACAAAGTGAAGCTAGGACTCGGAAAACTCTGAAAGCATCACAGACAGTGGGACTCGGGTGTTACACCCATTGTAGACAGTCATACTTGATTTCTATTATATTTAAGTGTGAAAAATCACACATAACGCCTTTAACTGAAAATACATAATGAAAAAAGTTAAACTGTGGAGAAAGATGTGACATGGATGGGCCGTACATTATCGAGCTGGAGGTGAGTTAAAATGATTTGCTGCAGTCTTTGGCTATCACATGAGAATCCACAGACTGAGTGCTCAGCCGTCCTGACTGTACCGCTCACATAACAGGAGATCAAATCGTAAATATTGATCATGTTTAACATTTATGATTTGAAAATCGAGCAGGCGCTGATGTTCCTCTGAGCAGATCTGATTATTCTTAACAACTGGAAAATCTGACAGGATCATCTCTAGAGCCATCAATAAGACTGGCCCAACATCGGTCCGATCATGTTGTGGTGCGTTCCCAGCTTTAAGTATCTTTCCTCCAGAGTCTGAGCAGAATGGAATAACTGGAGCATGCTGGGAAACCAACAGAAAACCCTCAGAGGAAAACACTGGTCTCTGTCCTCTCTGAGAACAAAACCAGAGGACGCAGTGTTTTTGGTAGCCGAGAGTGATTCATTTTTCAGCAGGACACGTGCTCAGGGGAGGGAGAGGACGGGACACTGTGGACGGGTGAGACCTGTGTGGAGACTGCAGCCTGCTGGCCGGCAGGAAACCGAACTGAAACTCGCCTGTGTGTTCGCATGATGGTCCCCGGAGTATGTTACCAACAATGTAATGATTCAAGGTGATGGAAAGTGGCAAGATGAGATGCACCTCATATTTCACCGGACCCTCAACGTACAGTGAACCTGGAGACCACGCGAGCCGGGGCGACCTTGTATTTCATCTCAGTCTGTGGATAATTATAAACACACTCATGCTGCCGGCTCCTGGTTTTCGATGAAGTTAACCTCATACATCATCTGAGGCTGCTGCTAACAAGATAAGACACCAGTAGATTCAGATACGATTAAGACGCTTCATATTTCATCTGAGGCTCTGCTAATGTGTGGTTTGTCCCCGCTGCCCTGCCGTAGATCATAACTGAGGCTTTATTACACAGAGGAAAAACACAGCAGTGTAGGGATGAGACTCAGTTTGTTCTCTACTTTTTACTGATTGAAATACCCACACATGTTATCAACAGGGTGTGTGATTTTTTTCATTTTTTTTCAAGTGGTAACGGGTGACTCATTTTCTCAAAAGTGGGAATGCAAAATATTTGCGTTGCATTCTGGCACACTGCGCTCAGTCACAGCCTGTGCCCTTTTCTGCATGTTATCTCGACTAACTTTCTCTGTCCCTCTCCTCCTTTCATGTCTCTCTTCAGGCTGTTGCAATGTTGTAACAGCAAAATGTCCCACACAAAAAGCTATGTGCCGGGGGGCCAGTGGCCTAGTGGTTAGTTTGTGTGCCCCATGTACAAAGGCTGTTGTCCTGAATCCAGCCTGAGGCTCCTTTCCCTCATGTCATACCCCGCTCTCTCTCTCTCTCTCCCTAATTTCAACTCTATCCACTGCCCTGTTTCTAAAATAAAGGACTAAAAAGCCCCAAAAATAAATCTTTAAAAAACTCTTTCCTTTTCAAAGAGCTGCTTCAGGAGCAAATCATTTACAGTTTTGTCATTTGAGTTATACTGAGCTCCTGTGAGTGACTTTCTGTTACCTTCAGTTCTGGCACCCCCTGTGGACAAAGTGGTGCCTCTTATATCATCTCTTACCTTCTCCTGTACATGGATAGGTATTATTTCCTTTGAAAACAAAGTCCTCCAGGTTGAATCCAACCTGTGGCTCCTTTCTCGCATGTCATTCACCCCTCTCTGACTCCCTCTTTCTGACTCTATCCACTGTACTATCTCAACATAAAGGCCTAAAAGGCCCAAAAACAAACCTTTAAAAAAACATCTAATGATATATTAATACCTGTTTCGACACCATAGCAACAAAAACACCAATCCCAGTACCCAATACTTGTTGATTCATTGTTTTTAATACCAATAATAACAGGCAAACTCCTGCACTATGTCCACATTGCGTACATATTTGTGCAATTTAGCCACTCTTTCTCTCGCAGCAGCTTTTGGTTGAAAGTATGACAGAAGATCTGAAGATGTTTTTGAACTGTTTCATTCTATCGATCATTAAAATAACAGAGACTGTATCGCTCTATAATACTTTTTTTTGACAGCCTTAATGCACACAGATCAAACTCTGCTCTACACATATACTCCCGAAAGTATTCACTTTTCACATTCGAAGCCACACACAAATTATTTTTTAAGTCTTACAACTCTCTTTAGTACAGTCATGTTCTTAATTAGGATATGGTGTGTGTGTGTGTGTGTGTGTGTGTGTGTGTGTGTGTGTGTGTGTGTGTGTGTGTGTGATCTTACCTGCACAGTCACAGAGTCGGCCTGTCTCCTGATGTTTACGGTGTGAAGCTGTCCGTTAGCCAGACTCCTCACTCTGCTCCTCAACACTTCAGCCTCTCTGCTGCTGTCCAGCTTGTATCTCACCTCCAGCTTATCTTCACACACACACATAAAACACACACACACACACACACACACACACACACAAGTTTCACAAATATACAAACTTTCTCCTCTTATAAAAACAGCCACGTCGTCTTTGCTAATCTTTACTTATCTTTTAAAGATGCATTTTTCACTTCAATGATTAATCAGAGAGATGAGTATCTGAGTCAATAAAGCTTCCATATTAAGAGGATTACGGCTTAATTCCCTATCAATAACAAGTCCAACTTTAATTAATTTTACTAATATTCACAGGATTATGAGCCGACTTAATAGAATCCCTGCGATGTCTTTGGGCTTTTGACACTGGAAGAGAATAATAAACGACACCTTGTCCTTCAAAAGGAAATGATTAACATTCATTTTCTTTAAAAATGTAGTTATTTCAATGAAGATTATTCCAGGGCTACTCTTCTTTTTCTTTCCAAGGTGAAGTTATAATTATTTGGTGTAGGAACTAATCCAGTTTGCTGCAGATTTTGAGAATAAACACCTGAATTCTTAAACAGCTTTTGAATGATTGACAATGAGTTTCTGTGTTTGGTTTAAGGCGATTTAACTGTAGCAGAGGGAGAAAAATTAAATAAATAAAAAAGGAGTAGAACAAGAGAAAGCTCTCAGGGATTTAATTGGACTCTTCAGTTTGAGTGCATTTACCTGACGACTCCTCGGTCAGCATGAAAACCTTAATGCCTCGCTGTCCATCAGCTTTCTCTGACTCATTAACACCAGAAAAAAAGTCAATTTGCAGCTAATCTAGCAGCAAAGTGCTGATTTTATTAAACTCCCGGAGGCTGAAAATGTGATTATTTTAAATCCAAAGTGGCTCCAACTTCTCTTAAAAGTCAAACTCACAACATCATTATTTCACACTAAAGTTGATAAAAACACATGAACAAGTTTTCTGCTGTTTTATTCAGCAGCACAGTGACCTGCCACCCATTAACGTTTACTCTCTCAGCTTCTCTCCTCAGGTCTCGGTGATAAAACCAGTGAACACTCTTTTCTTATTTCAGCCTGAGACAAAACTTAATAGCCGGTCCTGCTGGACGGATTACAAGGAGGTAGAGACTGACGGGGCGAATCAGAGAGAGGAGAGATCTGACAGATCCTGATAGATCTTTTAAAAGCTGCAGAGCAGAGCAGGAGATGAGAAGGAGGAAGGAGGAAGGAGGAAGGAGGAGGAGGAGGACATAAGGAGAGGTCAATATCAGGAGGAGATGACAGGAGCAGGAGACAGGATGAGAGGAAGAGAGGAGGAGAGGTAAAATGAGAGGCTGGGGAAAGGAAGAAAGTAATGGATGAAATGTGTCAAAAAAAGAAAAAGTCTTGACAGAGTTTTGATTTAAGGTTTTGAAAATAAAATCAGAATAATTTAGAAGAAGAAGGAGAAAACCACAACAAGAAAGAGACTGAGAAGGTATAATGAAGGAAAAGGGGAGGGATGGTTGGGAGAAGGAGGCAGGCAGGAAAAGAAGCTCATAAGAAGCCTTTCATGAATCATGTTCAACCTCAAAATGATTGATGTGAAATTGATGTTAAAAAAGGAGCGAGGAGGGAAAGATAATTAAGGAAGGACTTTTTACGATGATGAAATCTGCTGTAAAAAGTATTAAAACTCAAAAGGATGCAGGAAAGAGATCAAAACACAATGAGCTTGAGTGGCAGCCAAAAGGACTCCTTCAAAATAAAAGCCCCCAACACCCTTACCATGCTTGTTGATGAGCAGGGCCAGGTACTCTCTGTAGTAGGAGCTGACGTAGAACAGCACAGCCGGACTCTGATTGGTCCTGAAGCTCAGGGAGACGTTCTCTCCTCTCAGCGTCGTGTCGGAGTAGATGGAGGACGGCAGAGCGCTGCTGTTCCTGCTCAACTCATACGGCTCCTTGAAGGTGTAGCTGACGGAGGTCCCTGATTTGAAGCTTGCCGACACCTCTGGAGGGAGAAAGAAGCAACAGATAGTTCAGAGAAAAATGTGCTGCCATGCAAGGTGCCAACCAGGAAAAAGGGATGTCTTCTATATTTATCCTCATCCTCACACACTGTTGGCATAGCCTGTCAGAGCAATCTGGGGTGAACTGGGACACTTTGACGTGCAGACTGGAAGAGCTACGAGTTAAACTGCTGATCTGGAGAGAAACTTTAGTGCATCACCTGCTCTAACTTCAGGAACACAGTTCATCACAATTAAATAACGAACCTCACTGAGAAAGTCTCAACAAAAACTGAACATTGGATCCAACTATCAGTCCATCTATCCATCCATCCATCCATCCATCCATCCATCAATCCATCCATCCATCCACCCATCAATCCATCCATCAATCCATCAATCCATCCATCCATCAATCCATCCATCCATCCATTCATCCATTCATCCATCCATCCATCCACCCATTCATCCACCCATCAATCCATCCATCCACCCATCAATCCATCCATCCACCCATCCATCAATCCATCCATCCACCCACCCATCCATCCAACAATCCATTCATCCATCCATCAATCCATCCATCCACCCACCCATCCATCCATCCATCCAACAATCCATTCATCCATCCATCCACCAATCTAACCATCCACCCATCCATCCATCCATCCAACAATCCATTCATCCATCCATCCACCAATCTAACCATCCACCCATCCATCCACCCACCCATCCATCCATCCATCCAACAATCCATTCATCCATCCACCCATCCATCCATCCAACCATCCAGCCATCCATCCATCCATCCAACCATCCATCTTCTACATCACTTTTTCCATTCTGGGTTGCAGGTGGAGCTGATCCCAGCTGTGATTGGGCGAGAGGCGGGTACATCCTGGACTGTCAATCACAGGGCTGACATAAAGACAGACAACCAGCCACACATTCACACCTACAGGCAACTCAGAGTCACCTATTAACCTAATGAGCATGTCTTAGGACTATGGGAGGAAGCCGGGGTAGCCGTGGAGATCCCATGCATGCACAGGGAGAACATGCAACAACACTTACCACTTCACCACCGTGCAGCCACATTAGATAGATTATAAAAATAACTATTTGAAATGTTCATAATATTCTGTTCAACCCTTATAATTCTAAATTCATTGAATATTTAAAGAAAAAGGACCAATCTTTGCAGGGTTTCAATGCTGCCCTTGTAGCAGCAAAGTCTTTTGCAGCCTTTTATTACCTTTGTTTAGTTTTATTGATAAATCTCTTTGATGTGGAAAACATTGACTTTTTATGCATGAACACCATTTATTTCACTTTGCAGCATCTCTTTAGTTTTTTTTTTTTTCCTTCAGTAGAACAACTGTTCAATAAAACCAGGTAGAGAATAATTGTTACTCTGCAGGAGCACAATTCATATATTCACAGCAACATTTTACTCTATTTCAACATTAGAATGAATTGCTCAGGGATGTTTCGATCAATTCCAAATAAAGAGCATCTAAAGATCTCTGACTCTGCCACACAAGGCTCGAAACGACCTTAATACTGATTACAGAGAAGTTCACAACCACTTCCTGACTACTTTAAACACAGCTTTACCCATCAAAATATTCACAAAGTTGATTAAAATCCCCTTTCAGGGCCTCCGCTTGCTGACGTAGATGCAGATAGGAGAGGAGAGGAGATACCAGCGGTGGTAAAGAAGAGGGCAGAGAGAGAGAGAGTCATCCCCTAAAATGTTCAACTCACTTTAAGTTCCTGAACCGGGACACAGAGTTCAATTCGATGATGCATTATTAGTGCAGGGAATTCAACATCAAACGGCAGACGTCCACAGATTCCAGCACATCAAACAGACTCTATTTGCATGAAACCTTTGATGTCACATAGTAGCTAAGTACTTCTTGATGAGTGTTAAGTGCAGTAAAAGGTTCGACGGAATGATGCAGACTCTTAACCTTTTATACAGCGGCAGAAAAAAAACACCCACACATGGACGCCCTGAACTGTCTCTTTCCTTTTGCATTTTATTCTCTGAGTTTAATGAAGTTCAGACTGAAATTATTGCCTTCATGCACAAATTGACTGATAAGACATTATCTCTATGGAGACGCAGACTTTGAGGATTTGTCTGCAAAGTGAAGAACTATGATCAGACAGTTCTCCTCTTAAAGGAAGCAATTGGTAAAAACGGCAACATCAAGTCTATAAAGGAATGGACTGAGGGTGAATTAAGGACTACAGCTGGCTCTGTGGAAGTCTGCAGAGAGTCTGATGGAGGCGTCGTCTGGAGTGGGTGAATTGTGGGTTTAGCATGTGGGAGCTACTGTATGCTACAAGCCATTCTTTGCTTACCTACAAAAATACATTTGGCTGTGTGGAGACGCAAAGGAATGAGGCGTACAAAAGCTGTGAAATGAAGAATGCAGGACAGTAAACACAGATGTGGACAGCACAGGATTTTAAAAAAGTTAAATTTTTAAAGAGAACTCCAAAGGGGCACTGTTAAGTACTGCTCATTTTCTTTTCTAGTTTTCTGACTACTCAAAGCGCTCTTTTTACACCGCAGGTCACACCTACACATTCACACGCTGATGGTAGAAGCTGCTTTTGAAAGTTGTCCATCAGTATGAACTAATCCCATTCATACACATACATACACCTATGACGAAGCAGCAGGAGCAACTTTGGGGTTAAGTGTCTCGCCACATCGGACACGTAGCTGCAGGAGCTGGGGATCAAAACCCTGATCTTCCATTTGAGAGACGACCGACTATACCACTGGGCCACAGCCGCCTCAGCTCTAAGCTGATGCATCCTTTGCTAGTCGTGTCTGTTAAGGGGCAACATGCTCCTGTGGAAATTTATTTAAAAGCCTAATCTGTATCTACATGGAATTGTAGAATCTGTACTGGAGGGTCTAGATTTTCAGTATGGAAAGTGTTCTGGTTTCTGTCTGCAGTACATTTGTAGTCCGAACTGTATTGACCAATCAGGTATCAGCAGGCTTTGGTGTGAGGAAAAACAGCGCTAATGACAATCCAGCTCTCATGGACGGTATTCTGACGGTGATTTATTAGTCTCTATATACCATATCTGCAAAGTATTGCAGCAAACAATCCTTTATAAATCAAACTTTTAACTTGAGCCATAAATCTGCTCGACTCTGTGTCTTAAATCAAATCAGTGTTTAGATTCCCTGACTACCTGAAAGGCATCGGGAAATAATCAGTAAGACCGCCATTCAACAATCAAGCTTTTAAGGGTTGTTTCCTTCTCCTCTTGAGGTCAGACCTGACAAAGTTTGACTTTTTACTTTTGGACAAATCTGCACCATGAAGTTGTTATTTTGGAAAACTTGCTTCCGGTTTATTGAAAGTAAATCACAATAAAAGTGGCTTCCTTTTACAGGTTTATACTGCTGAATTGGGCTTGATGAAGTCACTGTATAACTTATACTGTTGAACTGAAACTCAACACAAAAAAGACATAAAAAAGACACTACTTTACAGGATATTATCGACCAAGAAATTACCAAAAAGGAATAGGAAGTCTTGCCTGGAAGTCTCTTAACACTAACAGCTTGCTTCACATTAATTACTGAGAAATATGCATCCGTTCCCAGAGGCATACGATGTCTATCAGATGATGAAAGGCGGTGATTACCGAGGGTTCAGAGATTGACTAAAGCTCAATTTAAAAAAAGAGATTTTTTTAATTCAAGTTTTATCCCAAAAAGACGTTTAGTCCATAATGGAAAAGATCCTTCAGTCGGAGGAGACCATCTTCAGTACGACTTGCTTTCTCCTCTACAGTATGTGTGTACCTGTGTTGCAGAAGACTCCTGTGTATGCCGACAGGCTGCAGTCACAGTGGAAGCCGTTGGCTCTCTCCACACAGCGGCCCTGGTTCTGGCAGAGCGAGCCGTAGCTGCTGCAGTGACCCGGGCAGCCGGGTCGAACCCCGGGTGTGATCTTCGCCCTCTCCTCCAGGTCCAGAGTGACCCCGTTCAGCTGCAGGGAGCGAATGCAGCCCCGGAAGCCCTTCTGCCTGGACGCTGTGCCTCCTGACAACACACACAAAAAAACAATTCATTGCATTAATTATGTCGGCTTATATCACGTGCAATTAACATCAAAGCTCACATGAATCAACGCTAGCTGAGGTAGAATAAATATTGCTTTTCTCTTTGTCTCTTTGTCTTATTGTTTTATTCCTTTGTGTGCTGACTCTATGCATTCTCTCTCTCTTGTCTTCCATTCCTCCTCCTCCCGTCAGGTGCAGCAGATCCCCGTGTCGCCTCTGCTCCCAACTGTCGACACTCTTCTCTTGAAATGTCACAACAACAGAACAGCTCTGAGGCAACACGCTGGAGGTGGAAGCAGTATCAGGGACATAACTTTCACAAGTCGACTCTAGATCTGTCTATATAGATCTATGCTAGCTGGTGCCTTGCTAACTGTGTGGTTGGCTGTGCTGCTGACTGACGTGCATGTTTCCTCCCCTTTCCACCATTTTCCCCGTGCACCATCTTTTTACAATAGCTACAAAAACCAGAGGACAGTAGAACAATATCAGTGTTCCTGTTTCAGATGTCACAGTAGGAGATGTAACCTGTCAACCTGAACATTACCACAGGGATCATAGGTGGTAATCATTTTTTGTATTCATAGTTCAGACGTGTCAGCTCTTTGTTCTCAGCCGTCAAAGTTGACGACTTCCTGCTGCTGGTCAGCCGCGGCTTTTCCACACCGATAAATCACCGAGCTCTGTCAGGCCTCATTCTCTGCTCTGATATTGTAAAAATACAAATGTATTAAACTGGTGTGCTTTCTTTGATGCTGTGTTACAAAGTGTCACAAACTTCACCACGACTTGTGAGTGACGGCCGTTTTTTAAAAATACTTGTATTGTAACAAAATACAGTCACAATGCATTCATTAGTTTTGAGTGAACACCTATTCTTCTGTTAAATGTTAGAGCCTTGAATTTCTTCTACTATAGACTTTTAAAACATGGACGTATTCTCAGTGATGACACCCATTCGTTCCTGAAGTCCAACAAAGGTGGTCGCCATATTGGAAATGCTATTGCAAACATGCTATTGGACACCCGAGTAACAGGCGAAGAGGTGGAGCGGAGGATGGCCTTTAGCTTCTTGACAAACCTCTATGATGCACCTGCTGCATCAGTAAATGTCAGCCGTGTGATTGACTGGTGACAAGACGTACCCCCCCCACCTCTTGGCTCCACCCCCCCCCCACATCTTAACTTGACAACACAGTATGGATGGAAAAGTCTTCATAAGTGGCTGAAAATGGCCTTTGACAACCAAAAGAGATGTCAGGACATTGTACAGTGGTGTGGTATACATTTCAAGTAAATCTGAGTCATTCAGAAATTAGATAAAAAAGCATCTTACTGCAGTGTTTCTAAACTCGAGGATTGGGACCCCATAGTGGGTTGTGAAGCTTTTTATTTTTTGGGGCAATTTGTGCCTTTATTGGAGAGGCAGGACGGTGGATAGAGTCGGAAATCAGGGAGAACAAGAGTAGGGAATGACATGCGGGAAAGGAGCGGATTCAAAACTTCCTCTAGCCTGGAGGACCACAGCCTCCATATATGAGGCGCGCCCTCTAACCACTGCGCCACCAGCGCCCCTGTGAAGCTGTTTTCAGTAGTTCTCGAATGTGTGCCTGGAAAAATACTTGTGTCAAAAAGTCTGTGAAACGATTTTGAAATATGTGTCTTTGCTTTGTTTTTTTTTGCAATTTCTCTTGAAGGAGTTGGTGGTGGGTCCTGAGGTATCGTAAACTTTGTTGCAGGTTTTTTATGTTGATGATAATGATTATACTGGTGACTTACAAAACTAATGAATTTGAATTTCAAAGTGCCTTTAATGTAATGTAAAGGTGTGACATCTTGCACATTAATATAGCAGAAATCACAGATAGCCTATAGTAAATGTCTGACTCATGACTGTCTACAATTCAAGATTCAATAAATGAGAAGCGCCAATACCGCTGGCTGTGTTGTTGTCGGAGTTGTGTTTACATCATGTTTACATTGACGGGACAGCCGACCCCTCCCCTTGTGTATTAAAGCTATTTCAGTCAAGGAGAGAAAAGAAAAAGAAGAAGAACATACTCACATACTCACTCAAGGGCAATTTTGTTTATTAGTTTGTGCTAAATTCATCCGCGTGAACGCGAGAGGAGGTAGGTTGGAGGTGTGTTGCGGGAGGGTAGAGAGTATTCAGAATAGCGGAGGTGTCTCCAAACCACAGTTTGTTTTGGTTTTAATGCCGGTGCTCAAGAGCGACATCTACTGGATCAAAAAGTCGCACATTCTGTCTTTAAAGACACTTTGAAGTAGTTTCCTGGGCTAATGAAAATAACATGAAGTGTAGAGACACTTTATTCTGCAGACAGCCTTTGAGAGTGAAACCTTCAGAGTCTGGAAAGTTTGAACAGCTTTATTGAATATAAAACTGTTAAATTGTACTTACATCCAGCGCTGTAGCTTTAGCTCAAACAAGACTACCTCTCAACAAGATGTGAAGACCATTTTCTACATTCTGTAAAGGTGAGAGCAGTTCTAAAAAGCATAATGAGGGACTTGTGGAGTAGAGTTGAAAAGTGAAGATCAAAGAATCCAAATGCGAATTAACTTCACCTCTGACCAAAACGAGCAAAGCTTTCAGTTTCGACCTTTCAGATGAGTGAGAAATTTCAACCTCACACAACCCTTTTACCGGAGATCACACTGTGAGAGCACACTCTGCACTGACGCATACAGTATGAGGGCGAATGAAAAAAACAATTACTGAAAAAGAGATCAAAAAGAGCATCAAAGGCAAAGCTTGTGGCTTAAAATACAAAGCACCTCGACCTGCAGGCCCGGGAGTGCAGATAGAGAGATTTAAAGGAAAAACTGATGAGTAAGCAGAAGAGAAATCTGGACCAGGGAGAGAATCAACCACATAGCCAACAGCACAGACTCAGGACATGAAAGCAGAATATTATGCAATAAAACACACCGGCTCTAATTAATGACCAAAGAGCTCAGTGAGGCTGGAACTGATGATTAGTTTTTTTAATTATTATTTAAGCGTCTGTTTTTAAGTAATGCCAGAAGCAATACTTAGGGGGAATATAATTCACCCTTGGAATGATTTGTGACAACTTGGATGATTCTCCGTCTTTCTAAAAGAATCGCTTCTCTTACTACTAACTGTTTATCATGAAAGTGAGTTTTTAGCGGCTTGTGAAACATTGATGCCAATTTATGAACTACAAAAAACAAACCACCTTACATGATTGCAGTACTCAGACACAGTTTTGAGTAACAATTTATATATATCAACATTTAGTACTTAAAAACTAAAAAGCCTAGTACTGGTCATTACTACACTTTGTCTAAATTAAAGATGAAAATGGGGTGGCAGTAGCTCAGTCTATAAGGATTTGGGTTGGGAACCGGAGGGTGGCCAGCTCAAGTCCTGGTGCGGACCAAAACCAGAGAGGTGCCAGATCACTTCCTCAGCACTGCCGAGGTTACCCTTGAGCAAGGCACCAGACCCCAACAGCCCAGGAGCGCTTGCTGTGGGCAGTGCAAAGGCAAAAACTGTCCGCCTCATTTGAATCACATTTGTTTCCAGTTCTCCTCCTAAAGGCTCAAATCTACTTGCTAACTGGTTGAACATAAATATTCACATACTTGCCTCACATGTTACTGGAGGTTTCCTCTAGAGGGAGCACTACATAAATCAGATTAGAGATTCAGTTTTGCATGGTGTTATGTAAACAAACATGGTACACTCGGGGAGGTTTTTCTATTGTTAATTCTCTGATTACAGTGGTTTAGTTACCGGCTTGATTTATTATTTTTTAAAAAAAAAACGTTCCCACCATTGTTGTAGCAGTTCTCTGGTGTCTCTAATGTTGTCACAAAGCGGTCTCATCACCATACGACCCTACACTGCTCCTAGTGGCTATATGCATATTGCATCTCGCGGGCGCATAGTGTTAATTTCAGAGACCGTGCACAAACATCGCTCCAAACCAGCGCAGGATACACAAGGCTGATATGATGCGTTTGCTTAGTTAAAAGCAAGTACACCCAGGGCTTAACTGCTCACCGTGCCCTCTGCACAGGACGCTTAAAATAACACACAGATTTAAAAAAAAAAACACATTTTCAGTCAAGCTCGGTTTTATTTACGCTTTAACAGATTAAGAGCCACTATGAGGATTTTGCTTCTGCAGTTGCGCTGAGGATTTGTAAAGTAAAAGCCAAACAATTCAGCCGGAGTAGCCTAACTACAGCGTGATATTTTTTAAAAGCAACATATAAATATGGTTCTAATTTGCAGACGGCAAAATAGAAATATCTTCACATACCAGTCAATAAGGACCCAGAACAGAACCCAATAAACTTCTGCTTATCTTTCAAAAACAGGCAGCACCAACACGTCATGTGAACAAGCCGCCCTGCTGCAAATGCAAAAAAAAACAACCTTTCAATTGAATCTGCTGCATGCGGATATTTTACACCTCCAAATATCAGGCAATAAAGAAACTGGAGAAGGAATCATATGGCTTATAAATCCAGGGAGGCAATATAACCGACTATTAATTGAAACAATGTGATTCACTGACGTATAAATCTGTACAAAGCACTATTAAGACTCATAAATACACTGTTTATGGAAGCATGGTTTATGAATTAATAGATGGCGACACTTTACTTTATTAATTCATATCGACAGACTCATAAATGTGTGGAAAAGCACTGCGGTTGATAAAATAGTGCATCTACTTAAAATGCAGAAGAAGCATTAGAAATATAAACAAAAGCAAACATTTGAATCTGAATCTGTCAGAGGAAAAGCTCATGAATACAGTGTACATAACACAGTTTATACAGCATGTTGTGGCACCCAAGATGAGCTTTTATTAAATCTTATAGTACACAGTTTGAATGCTTTACATTTCAGGCACACAGATGAGGCCTTACAAAGCTCTCAAGGACATTTTATCATCAGAAAATCAACCTTGTTCGAGTTCCTGCACCGAACAAAGAGAGTTGATCTTCTTCACACTGTAGGTGGTCACTCTCAAGGACATTCAAAAAAAAAGCATCCTTGGCATGATAGATCTTTCTCTTTTTAACAAACAAATCTATTCAACTTACTCCATTGAGCTGTACTCATGATGTACTGCTGTGAGCTTGGTGACCTCCGAGCAGATTATCAGCTGAACACAGTCAGCCAATCAATATTCAACTCAATTTTCCCCGCCGCTGCTCTCGTCGACATTTGTTGGTTTGTTTTCCCTCCACACTGTGTGTTTACTGATATGAAGTGACATACATAATATTTGCAGAATGATAAAAACCTGATGAATGATGGATTTTGCATTTTATTCCCCCCCTCCTGCGGGGTCTACAAACAGAGTGAGAGGTCATATAGAGAACTCTATTAGTACAGTAATATTGAACAGATGGAGCTGAGATAAAACGAGGCTGCAGAATTGATTGAGGTTATGTTCGAGATTTTCACCAAGCTGATGGTTAATTACACGAGTCCAATGAATCGCTTACAGTCCCAGATTAGGTTATAGATTATATTAGGACCCTCACTGCAAGAAATCACTCCACACACTACACCCGGGCCTGTTCAACTGGGACCAACTTCGGCCCGCGGATGACATCAGACTGGCCCGAGCATCGTTTCTATTTACAATTAAAATATAAATAACTAATAAACTTGTGACTGACTGTCATTGTTGCCACAGTAAAGTTTTAAAAACAGCACAGCGCTCCCGTTTAATAGAACATCTTTGGTCCTGTGCTCGCAGCCTATCACAAGCTTGTGTTGTTGATGGGGGGGGGGAAACGCTTTCGCACAACGTACTGCTGTGGTGGGCTTGCTTGTCTGGCCCCTGGGTCCTTAGCTTTCTGAACAATAGAGTTGAATAACCACTACATGGTTTATTAGATGTGCCCTGAATCATGCTACATGTATTAAATGTGATTATTAGTCAGTGTTCAAGAACTACTCAGCTCATATTCAATAATGCAGAGAAGCAGGTGGGATCATGACACCTACAGTAAAGCACTTATAAAATATTTATCTTAAGATCTTGTACGATTTCTTTGAAGTCTGACTCACTTGTGTCTTTGAGTTTATATTCTAGTACTGTGGATAATGAGGCAGTAGAAGCCCATATATAATAATAGGTTGTTAGACGGGTACAGAAAATAGAGTCTGACCCGACCTACATTCTTCACTCTGAGTTTCAGCTTTTACCCTCAGGGTGAAGAATCAGGGGCCCTCAGGACCAGGATGTGCCAAGGGGGCCGAGCAATATGTCACCATTGCAGGAAGGTGTTTTTATGTATATGTAAATTTGTTACTTTGATATGTACTTTTTCATTCTCTTGCAACTGCAGGACAGAGTCAATGACACATTTCCCTTTGGGGACAATAAAGTATATCTTGTCATGATTTGGTCTGGTTTGTTTTTGTTTTTCAGAGTTTAGATTTTCTTGTTTAAGTTTTTGTTATTCGTCCCTCGTGTTGCTTGTTTCCCTTCGTCTGAATATCTGCTCTGAACGCTGTAGCCTCTGAAGTCTTCTGAGACTTCCCTGGAAGATAAATGTGACCAAACCTCTTAAGTGTCCAATGCAAAATGTGATTTTTTTTTTTTTTTAGCCTTCTTTATGAATTTCCATATTCTTTGAAAGCTCTTGGTTCGTTTCAGCCTCAAGCTGGCTCTGAACTTGACTGCTGCCTTTAGTTGTTGAATATCCTCCTCAGTAAAGACCAAAAAACAGCCTCCTTGCATATGACTTTACTTTCTACTTGTCTTTTATTGGTGTAGAGTATCGCCTGATGTGAGCTTGACAAAGAATGTGAGTGATATTTCAGCCCAAAGAGAAATCGACTACAAGTCCTCTTATCGTGCTGCAGACTTTAAGAGGAGCCGCAGAAATGGAAACACTCAGCTATGAAGTGAATAAGAAACGAGGCAAGTGTTTGAAAAGCGAGTGCCTCAGAGTTATGGAGAGACAGAAAAACTTCCAGAAAGACTTTGGGAGAAAACTCTCCGAACCCCATCAAGTAGAGTAATGAGGCCTAAATTCACCCAGATACTCATGCATACATTCGCCCTATCACAAGAGGCTGCTTTCTAATATCAACGTTTTGCAAAGAAGCAACAAAATAACAAGACTATGAATAAATTTGTACTACATTTGAACTCCTCACCTATGAAGAGCTGGCTGTTGAGCTGCAGGCGGAAGTGTCCGTCAGCTGGAGCTTCCTGTGTGGCGACAGGAAGTCCGTCCAAACGTAGCGACGCCTCCTTGACGTTGCGCTCGGCTCGCACTCGATGCCACCGGTTGTCGTTCAGCGGCACGCTCGACTCCACCTGGACCTCCAGCGGCCCGTTACCCACATCGAAGGAGAAAACCACCAGAGTGGAGGCTGAATGAGGAGAAGGAAAAAAGAAAAACCTTCTGATTAACTATAAACCTTCCAGAACACTGCAGGTCACCTGTGACCGGTCTGCTGTCTCCCCAGAGTCAGAACCAAACAGGGACGAGCAGCGTTCACTGTTCATGCCACATTTATCCAAATGAAGGAAACGAAGGAGGTGCGTTTACAGAGAGCCTTAATTTGAAGTTGTATCATAAGCCTTTACTGAGAATGGGTTATAAATCTTCACATTGTAGCTGCATCTCTTAAAGTCTAAGTCGTGCCAATAACACATATGGGGATAGAGGCAGGATCCTTAACAAGCAGGCAGGAAGGACTCCAGTGTAAGGAGTCTTAACAAGCAGAGGGGGGGGGGCTCTCTGTGATGTAGTCTTATTACTCATTCATAAAAAAACACAGCAAACAAAAAGCTGGCAGAGCCTCTAATGAAGAAGGCTGGTTCAAGTTCTCACAGGATAACAACAAACAAAAGAGCTGAGAGTCTGGCAAGGAGTTATGTCACCATTACATGGAAGAACTAGGCTATGCTAAACGTCTTTGTATGCTGCTAAAACTTTTTATTTCAGTTATTCCAAACCTTCCAGTGAGATAGGAATGCATGTCTTGTATGTCAATGTAAGTCAAAAAGGTTGAATAAAGTTTATTTTTGCCTCGATGCTTTGCTACAATTTCAAACTATTTTTTTCAAAGAGAGAAAGATCTTTTCAACACCAATTTAAATACAGATCGAGCCACCATGAAGTTCCCCTCTCAGCCAGAAGCAAGTACGCTGCCAGCCGCCAGTTCCCAGCTAATGAGAGACCCACCGCCCCTCCTCCTTCAGGCGTGACTAGATTCCACTGTAGACACACCCATTTATTTAATTGTAGGGTGTCCCCATGATGTGGCGCTATCCAAGAACACATCAACCACTATAGCTTATTAATTATTTAGTCGGGCCTAGTAAATGTACAAATGTACTGTAATCACTCAGAGGTGTCATGCTGACTCACCATAGACAATTTAACAATCTGGTAAAAGGAATTTGTTTTTATCTTTTAGAGATGTGCGACTGAAACCGTGACACTGAGGAGAAAGAAAAGACCGGGTCAATGCTCACTCACTGCCGGTTTCTGCATGCACATGAGCCCCTTCAAATGGACATGAACGAGGTTGTGAATGTATGACCTTGCCTTAAAGCCAAAATACAAATCTTCGAACAGATTGCATGAAACTATAACTCATAACAAATTAAATTCACAATGTGGAGGAGGCCGTTCTACAAAATTAGGAAACTATTGGCACTATTCCAATTTGAAAGAGCAGCCAGTATGTTTTAAAAATCAACACTTTTAGTTGATATTTTCTTTATGTTGGACTTTTCAATGGACTTAACTTTGATGTGTGCTTTATTTAGTGGGTCAGTGTATAAATGATAAAGCCACTGCTGGTTAAAGTTCCTAAAGGAGTTTCAGCATCTTGAGTCAGAACCAAAACAAGCTCCTTTGTGCTGCTGCCTTGTTTCAGCACCACGGACAGATCCTCAGTGCTGAGCGTCTGTGTTTACTCCTCTCGGGGTGTCTGCTCGGCTCTCTCTGTTCCCTCCAACAAAAGGCGTAAGATTTAAGAGAGCGAGCAGGCTGAGCAAACCACCATCCTTCATGCTGTGCTGCTCGAGAGTGAAGATGTATTACTACCAGGGTACAAAGCAAGATGAAACAGAGTCCCAGCATCTTGTAGTAACTTCACTTTTGGCAATTGTTTTCAGTCAAAGTGAAGCCCACAATGTTACAGAGCAAACTCATGCAGGTGGCAGGATTCAGAGCGAGGAACACCCACACTGTCGATGATTTCTCATGAGGAGAGGGGCAGTTTTTGGAGCAGTCACTCCGATAAGAACTTCTTCAAAAAAATGCAACACAGCACAAAAAGAACCAAAAAAAGCAGAAACTGAACCGAAGTGAAAATGTGGTGAGATTCAAAAGGGAAACTACACATAATCCTAATAACTAATTCAAATCATCCACACAAGCCATTTCACACAATACACATTACTGCCGCCCATAAATGTGCGGCCTCGTTCAGCCACAATGCTGTCATAACCATACAGGCACAAGGACACCTTGCCGGATAATACAGCTATATTTTAAATGACACGATCTACGGCAGGCTATAAACATACATCTCACACCCGGCCACATTTCCATGGCACCCATAAAAATAAATAACACTCTGTTAGTTATTACTGTCATAATCCAAATGACACCCTATTGCTACCATAAATGTGTGCCTTACACCAAGAGGCAGGGATTAATGGAGGGTCACGGCGTAAATGCCCCTGAGAGTTCCTAAAGCCGCTAAATTAAAAATAAAGGTGCATAAAAAATAAAAAAAAAGCCACTGCAGTGATTAGAATCCCCTTTTTTTATGGATCTTATCTAGACTACTTTTTATGTGTTGTGTTGGGTGTCGTGTGGAGCAGCATGCTCAGAGGTTTGAGACTGTGCTGTGCATTCAGCTGTGGTCTGTGTGTGTGTGTGTGTGTGTGTGTGTGTGGGGGGGGAATTGATCGCAGGACAAGAAACAATGCAATCTAAAGCAGAATACAAAGTGAGGAGAAACACAAGCGGTACCTGCAGAAATACAAACTCTGCATCAATCAGCCTGATGGTGAATCAAAGTACATCTAAAAAAGGTAAGGGTAGATAAATGAATAGGGAAAGTGTTATCATCCTCTCCTGTAATCCCTGCACTGGAAAAGAAATGAAACACGCTGTGTGAGGATGAGTGGAGGGTTTCTTAAGGTGCAAGTGTTCACAGTTCAGAAACATAACAGAGAAATCCAAAGTTTCCTTCTATTGCATCACTCTGACACAGAAATAGATTTTTTTTTTAAACGGTCTACTACTCTTACCCCCCTATAAATAAAACTCTCAAACACTGTAAAAGGCTTAGAAGACACACAAAATCCCCTTGAAGCTCGTTTGAAACGGATTCATTCTTCACCCTCCAGCTCTTACTCACAGCTCAATTCGATCCGGATGAAGTCTTTGATGCCCAGGTTTTCCAGGAATACACCGGAGGCGGCCGTGGTCTTAAACAGGAAGGACACGTCTGCGCTCAGCTCGGCGTGGAAGGTGGGGAAGTGGAGGTATGACGTCTCTTTGTCGAAGAACGCAGCGTTCCAGAAATTCTCTGAAATACACAGTAAAAAAAAACTCTGTCTGCAAGTCATAGTACTAATGATTCTAGCTTAGCCTTGGTATTTTTGCACACATGGGTTCTTTTCTGTTGAATTTTATTTTTTAATCATTTTTAGTATTTTCCATTTGTTATGTTCTTGCTTTTCTTTATGTTCTTCTGTGTTTGGTGCAGTTTGCTTTTTTCTTGTTTTTGCCTTTGCTGTTTGTCGAAGCACTTTGTAAACCTGTGTTTTTAAAGGTGCTATACAAATAAAGATATTATTATAATAAAGTTATTATTATGTATCCATCTAAACATGGATTCCCATGAAATGTTATTCAGAGCAAAGCAACAAAAAACACCACAAATAAGCCAATCTTTACTCAAGTTACCAAAAGAAAATGTTGTAATGCTGCACAGCTGTATTACAGATCTTAATAACTTCAAGGGATTTTCAGTTTTATACCTTTTAATAATTTTTTTGCCACCCATGTTGACTTTGCAGAAAACAATAGTTCAACATGTACAGAATACCATTAAAGGTGCACTATGGAGTTTTGGTAGAGAAATGTGAAAGTTGGAGAAGTGTACAGATTCTGTGGTATATGTTCATAACTCTGTACACAAACTGTCCTCAGAGGAACATTTGGTCCCTGGAACGCTGTTTGAAGATAAAATGCTGCTAAAGAAGTTATGGTGGTGGGTCCGCAACAGTGAAACTGTAACTCTCCTGGAAGCTTTTTAGCTCCAAACATCCAGGGACCCATTTTTTATTCAAAGTAAAGTTTGTGTATTCAGTTCAGAAAATATAACATCGAATTGTTTCACTTTTCCAACTTTCAAATTTCACTACAAAATCTCCATAATATCGACAATCTTAATCCACAGCCAGTGTAAACTAACAGTGACATCAAGTAGTTTAATCGTCATCTACGACATCAGGTAATGTAACAGTACTCTGTTATTGGACGGATTAAATGATCTCTGCTCATAATGTGGAGAATGCACAACCAGTCTGCTCTACCTCATCCTCCAATTTATCCCTCCTTTAAAAACGATCACCATGACAACCGTATTTTACAGAGGACTTTACACCTACTACAAGCTAGGTGAAAGGTTTAAGTTACAAGCTCTTTTTTTTTTTATCAGGTGATGCAGAACAATACAAGACAAGTGAGGGACATGACAAGAGCAAAAGTATGTAGGAGACAGGGGAGACACGACGATACAATGCACAGCATAGACAGAGACAAGACAAAACAGGCAAGCAGGGAGCAATGATAACATTTTGCAATTGTGTATGTTGAGGGTGTTGAAAGGCCCTGCTTGTGTGTGTGTGTGTGTGTGTGTGTGTGTAATTCGAGTGTATGCTTGTATTTATTTACCTTTCCTTTTTCACTTCCTCTATACCCCTATTCCTATTTTTGTCCTTCTTCCTTCCTTCATTCCATTTTTCTTTTCTCTTTTTTTTTCTTCCCATTCATTTTCTTTTCCTTCTCCTCCTTTCTCTTATTTCCCCTTTCCTCCCCCTCTTTTTTTCTATATTATCTTTTTTTTTTTTACTTCAGTCATTGTGTGGTGCAGGGGTGCCCCTGTCTCAGCTGCCCCCAGACCCTGCGGAGGGGACCAGCTGATAGGGTTGCCTACTGCTACCCTCCCACCAAGCTTGAACAAGGAGGGGCTAGAAAGCATATTCAAAACAAAGGGAAAGAAGAAAACAAGAATAACTGAGGAATGAACAAAAAAAAAAGTGGGTAATGGACCATATCAATTGTGTTCCAGTGTAGTGTGTTGTTGGGTTACAACTTTGACTGCACTTGAAGTATATCAGCTGATTAAATGTAAGTAGTGCGTAAACCCGGTCATAAGTTAGATCTAAAATGAGTCTTATGTATAGTTGGTACATCCTGGTACTGGATAATGGCCAATCAATTCTGATGTGTGAACATCTGCTGTCACGCAGTTTGACAAAATAAGCGAGCGACAGAAGTAACCTCCATAAAAGGAAGAGAAGTGGACTTACTGTCTCCATGGCAACGCAGAGCTCCCACCCTGTAGGCGGCCTCTGAGCCCGGCCTCTGGACGTCACCCAGCACCAGAGACCTGACAGGGAGGCTCTCCTTATAGGTGAGCAGGCCTGAGTCCTCCGCCCTGCAGGGAAAGAGAAGGAATAAGGGAGAGAAATGTCAATAAACAAAAAAAACAAAAAAACATGAAGTAGGAGATGGAGCGAGCACAAAGAAAAACTGAAATATTATCATCTTTTTGTGTAGATTCAACAGCTGTGTTGTTTCTCTGTTGCATCACTCTCAGGACAATATTACATGTTGTTACAAGGTGATGTAAACATTGCAGTGTGAAGGTGCAATCTCTCGGAGGACTATTTATTCCCACAACTGAATTATAACCATCCTGACAAGTCAACATCCATCTGAGACGGTTTCTGGAACAACTCCTCCTAAAAACCAGACGCCTGCTGTCCATCGACGCCCACATGCAGCTCTTCCCACCAAAGCTAATCCTCCCCGTTAGCTCCTGTTGCTGAGAAAGAGTTGTCGACAAAAATACATCCAGGGCCGGGAGGACTGGAAGCGGGGAAGTGTTTACAGCACTTTGTGAGTCTGATGAAATATTGAAGAGCAGCAATGGCAGCTCCGGTCTGTAAAAATAGACCACCGAACAAACAGTTTGTACTGGGAAATGATAGAAGGAAGCAGGTCAGGCAGTGGCACGACAGCTTACAACTAGAGGAAAGGCCAAAACTCTGAATTCTATCAGACCGATTATTCTGTTTTCTTAACTGCCAAAGTTAAACTGGGACAGTTTACTGCTGTGCGGTCTGGCACACATTCATAAATTATGTACGCTGGAAAAAACATTATATTTAACTTTTCTGATGCTTTAGTTTGGAAACCAATTCTAAAGACAAACACACTCGACTCCTAAAAAGCGTATAACAACTGAGTGATGAATCCTGGATAAGTGTCCAAAACAAGAAAAACGACAGTACACCACTCCACACTGGTTTAAACGCTTTTAATTGCCACATGATGGATGTTTCGAGCAGACTCTCTTCTATTCTCTGGGAATATAGCCTGTTTGAGTACAATTTGAAGTGCATTACTTAGCGTTTTTCTTAGTTTGGAAACCAAAACATCTTCCTATCTGCGACACCTCCAAACGATGGCTAATGGAGCTGTTTATATTCCCTCACACAATCATTCATTTTTCTTCATTCAGCTAGACCACCCTCTCTTCCTCTTCCTCCGTCTCCCCGCTCTGGTGATCAGCTGATTATGGGTTTTTACTCTTTAAGCATTCAACCAGATTCTAACACAACCTCTCTCAACCAATCATCCTGCTGCTTTCAAATTTAGAAATCTGTTCTCTCTCTTCTGCAGTGAGTTTATCATTTCAGTGCGATTGCTGTGACCCTCTTCCAGCTCAGCAGAGTTCAGATACAGCCTCAGAAATTCACTCCTCATCACATCCTGTGTTCTTCTTTCATCACCACCACCACCAGAGAGGAGACTCCATATCCTCTCCTGCTGTCGGCCTCGCTGCCCCTCTGAGAACATGAAGTCATAACGACGGAGTCTAAGTGCCAGAGACATTGCATATTTTATCTTTTTCTAAACTGTTAAATAAATAAGGGTAAAATCTTACTTGGGTCTCTCCTGATTGAAATATCCATCATGGAACTTCTGGAGGTTTATCGTTTTTAGGTTTTACAAATCAGAATTTTTTAAATCAAGAGAAGAAGAATACCTCCAACATAGCACACTTTCAAATGGTGAGAAACATTTTCAGTAAGAAAAGAAAAGTTTCAGTACCACTCTATGCGGTCTGCGTCACAGTTGCAGTAGTGCTGTGGGTCCACACAGACGCCCTGCAGGCCGCAGGCACACTGCTGGCTGCCTGGCTGAGCTCCACCCCAATAAGTCTGGAGAGTACCGGGACCAGGACCACCGAACCACCAGCTGAACGGAGAGCCTTCTAAAAAACACACACAACAACAACAACAACAGATTCATTTTGTCTGACATGAGAAAACATTTCAGTCATTTACATCAGACGTCCAAAAAAACAAGCAGCAACCTCCGGTCTGGAAAAATGAAGCCAAAGCAGAAGTGTCAAATCCTGCAGTTCGTCGAGTGCTTGAGGCTGGCTCCAAATTTTACAAATCGGATATCGGACTGACGGCGCTGTTCCACGTCACAGATCAAGACAGATCCCTGGGCACTTTAAACATTCTTAAATTGCTTTTGTCTCGACTGCAAGCGTCCACAAATATTTAATGAGAAAACCTTACAGTAGTTGCTGCTACATGTTTGTACGTGAAACCAGCAAAAGTTCAAATAACATTCTTTGGCATCATTGTAATTTTTAGGCATTTATTAGTTTTTTCTCTTTCAATAAGAAGCTACAGTTTTGTGTAGCCATTTTTATAATACCAACAACATTAATTATGGTTAAAGAATATCTGAATCGGATCAGAACTGAAAAGAAGTGGACGTGTGCATCTTTACAATCAATGTTGCATTTATGTTTTTGAAATTACTTAACATAAAAAGTTTCCCGTCCACTTCCTCAAAGGCAGCGTTGATCAAAACACGAGCATAAACCCGGATTCAAACTCAAAGCATGATGTTTGATGAATCACTTCATCACTGGACGGAGATAACGAGAGAGCACGAGAAAACACAGACTGACTAAGTCGGACTTGATGTCCATTTCAAATGAAGTAGACATTTCAACAAATCAGACTCAATCCATCTGTCTGGCTAAATTCAAAATATGAATAAAACACTGAAAGCCTGAACTAGTTTGCATTAATTAGTCAGAAAGAGTCATTCTGAGTCAAAGTCATTCTGATTGTTGGACAGAGTCCCAACGATGTGCAGAGCCGCAGGGAGTAGATTCCCCCAAAGCTTTTGTTTTGAACAATCACTCTGATAAGATCTGAGCAGAAGTTAAACAAATATATAATGTCAGTGGTAACAACTGGAGTTTGGCATTAAAATCTCATTAGCTGATTAAAGACAGTGTTTTTTTGTTTTCATTATTTAGTCTGAGTTTAAGTTTTTTCCACTTCTGTCTGGAGGAAAAAGAATAAAGACCAAACATGTAGCTTCTTGTTGTGGTAGAATTTCTGCAAGAAAACATCTGAGCCACAACATGAAGACCTGATCCTGATCCTAATCCTGATCCTAATCGCCCCATGAAGCCTGAACACTGAACCTTCACAGACTTTAGCAGCGTCAGGTGTGCAGTGCTTGAGTTGGTGAGTCTGTGAGGGCTTGAGATGGTCGATAACGGGACACAATATCATGACATCACATGATGCCTGGAAATAAGATGCGCAATTAAATAATAATATGAAAAAAAGCCCACTTCTAGAACCAAATTTGCAATGAACTCTGGGTAAGTCACATCAGAACATCCCTGAGTTTGGAATTCAGCCAAAGAGGACCTTACCTGGAGTGTTGAGGAGGCGGGACTTCCTGCAGTGGTAGGACAGCTCCTGTTCACAGTGCTCTGATTGGCCGATGGCTGCTGATAACTGCTCCTCTCTCGTGGAGTAGTCAAAGTGGACTGAACGCTGGTTCACACCTGCAGACGGTCGGACTCTGGTCAGCTCTGTGTTGTTGTGCTGGATCACCATCCACGTGGTCTCCTCTGTTGATGGAAACAGACACAAGAAAACACACATGTTAAAATAATGTAAACTATGCATCAAGGGGCTTCTGCTGGTCACTTAGAAGGGCTTAAGGTTTTTTAAGTCTCTGTTTCAAACTCCTTTAGAGCAACTTTTCTGACCGCTTTATATTTCACTTTTGTATTTTTTGTGTGAAAGAGAAAACACTGCTGCACACCATCTTGCTAAATGATATGTATTTATAAATAAACAATGTCTCTTGTGATGCTCAACCTTCATAAGACAACGGAGATGATTCAATGTCAAATGTATTTATCTTCTGTCTTTATCTATTCATGCTAATTGTAATGTTTTTAACTCTGCAAAGAACTTTGAATAATTAGTTCTTTCTTTTCAAAGTTTTTTTTATGAAATTTTAGAAATATTAAGAGCTTGCCGCAGCACAAGTTACATAGTGCTGAAAACGCGACACCGGGGTGCTTTGAGGAAATGGAAGAGACACCATTCTGCCTGTTGAAAGTTACTGTATTATTAGATCCACTTTTAAACTACTATTTTAAAGGTGGAAAGGTTACATATTATTGCTTTAAGTAAAAAACTATTTATTTCACTATATGGCAATCACTAAGTGTAAATTCTGTTGCAACATAGATTTCAGAGACTTTTTGTTTTTTTTACCACTCATTATTGAATATGGTTGGAAGATTGAATCAGTACAAATCAGCAATACATGTTAACTTCATTCATAGGATTTGTATATGAGCCAATTATAAACAATAAAAAAACAATTATAAAGGCATTTTAATTTCTCTTCATATTTCAATAGCAGGACATTAATTCAGACATAAAAACTCTCTGGAGCGAGTACATGTGGTTCTAACATTGTTTTGGAGTTTTGTTTTTAATAACCACATGAGTGTAATCTTCCCTGTGAGTGTGTGAGATGTAGAAGACACACTGAGAGAAAAAGAGAGAATCAAAGACAAGAGACAAACCGAAGAATGTCATCGTCCATAAATATACAGTTATGTAAATCATGAAGAACACAGAAACAGATGGTGTGAAAGATATACATTTAGACCGGAGAGGAAAATACAATCAACATGATGAGAGGGATGTGAAGCACTAGGACATTTATAGACAGAGATGAATGTGGGAGAGAGAGAGAGAGAAGGTGAGAAAGAAAGAAAGAAAGAAAGAAAGAAAGAAAGAGAGAGAGTGAGAGAGAGAGAGAGAGAGAGAAGGTGAGAAAGAAAGAAAGAAAGAAAGAGAGAGAGGAGAGAGAGAGGGAGAGAGAGAGAGAGAGAGAGTGAGAGAGAGAGAGAGAGAGAGAGAGAGAGAGAGAGAGAGAGAGAGAGTGAGAGAGAGAGAGAGAGTGAGAGAGAGAGAGAGAGCGAGCGAGAGAGTTAAAGAAAAAGAGAGCGAGAGAGAGAGAAAGAGAAAGAGAGAGAGAGAGTGAGAGAGAGAGAGTGAGTGAGAGAGAGAGTGAGAGAGAGAGAGTGAGAGAGAGTGAGAGAGTTAAAGAAAAAGAGAGCGAGAGAGAGAGAGAAAGAGAAAGAGAAAGAGAAAGAGAAAGCGAGAGAGTGAGAGAGTGAGAGAGAGTGAGAGAGAGTGAGAGTGAGTGAGAGTGAGTGAGTGAGTGAGAGAGAGTGAGAGAGATAAAGAAAAAGAGAGCGAGAGAGAGAGAGAAAGAGAAAGAGAGAGAGAGAGACTGAAGTGAAGAAGGGAACCAAAGAGAGAGCCATAAAAAAAGGATTTGATCATCATGACAGGAGCAACATCATTTATGATTATGTTAATGTTTATCGTAAAACATTAAGTGATTATGAAAGACTGTGTGTGTGTGTGTGTGTGTGTGTGCGTGCGTAAGTGTGTGTCACCTGTCATGTTGCAGTAGACCAGCTGCGGTTTGATCGGTCCGCTGCCGTCCACATCGATGTGAAAATGTCCCGACGTGTTGCCGTTGTGTTTGTACGCCTCACAGGACTGCTCGTACACAGCTGGTGAGGAAAAATAATGAGATCAGCTGCAGCGTGAATCCACCGTCAACCATCAACACATCAGCTGTGAGGGGGATGACGAGCACACGCTGTACGCCACATCGCCTGCCATCCTGTACAAACTTATCACCACCAACGCACTGAAAGTAAAATCACACTTTGTATTTTCTCCATGAGCCTCCTTTGAAGGAAAGATAAATCCAGTTAACGGGGACAATAATGACTGACGGGAGGCCAGAGACTCCATAAAAAAAAAGGACTTCAGACCTTTATCAGCCCTCCATCTTCCTGGCAGTCTCCATACGTCTTCATCCTTACTTCTTTTTCACACACACACAGACACACACACAGACACACACACACACACACGCTCTGCGCTTCCTTTGCAGTCAAATCGCTGACATTTAAGGCAAATCCATATCTAAAGATCCCCACACTCTGCTCACCTGTTTATCTCTCTGCCTGCATAGCCACCAGTCTTCAATCCATCACATTCCCTCAGAAATGTTTCACTCAAACATCAGCATGAAAATAAAAACTTGGAGGCGAACTGTGTGGGAAACCCTGAATGTCTGTTTTCCAGGATTTGCCTCGAGGGAATCGGCATAGAACCATTAAATCTTACCTATAAATTCCCCCTCACTGCCACCGTTTTATATTTTGAGTGATTATGTCTCTGTTAGTCACAGCTACAATGTCATTACCCTCAATCATATAGCTCACCTACAAACAGATTATCTAACCCGCATTGCTTTGTAAGAGGGGAAGATTCTGGGAATAAGGGATGAAGGAGGCCATTAGAAACATGTCTGCAACTACAACAAAAAACAAGAAATATTCTGTCTCTGATCTGATCTCATTTCCAGAAGCAACACTCAAAAGCTGAATACCTTCGCATCTGTATCTACCAAACAATAAGGCTTTCGAGCTGCCAGCTTGATCCTTGTTAAAGTCGTAATAATTCTGGTTTGTTGATCACATTTTCTTTTCAATTTGCCTCCTTGCTGAAAGTGCTCCATGTAGAAGTGAGTGTATGTGAAAGGAAATTCACTATCTGCACTTTAATTCAATTTTTCCTCACAATTTCAGCCTCTAATTTCCATTTTTATTTTCAAAAGCTCTCTACATCCTTCCTCCTCCCCCCTTTTCTAAATCTTTCCCCATGAAAATTGCACTTAAATCCCAAAAATATGCAACAGCTAATGCATTCCAGCTACATATAAATGGCGTGGTTGGGAAACACTTTTGCAAATCATTAGCTTGAGTGTTTGCAGAATTGTATTAAAATATTCACTCATGTAGCCACCTCACGTGTGATGAGTGTTTTTCATTACAGCTATGTTCAGGATCTGGTTAAGGTTTAGGAAAAAACATGGTCTTAGTTAAATATATGGGGATAAAAAGGATTCTGTGTGGAGCTTTTGGACTGTGTTGATTGTGGCGCCCCCAGTGGACAGAGCGGTAACTCTTGTGTCTTATGGCTGATTATTATCTGTACATGTGTAAGTAGTGTTTTTTTTTACAAAAAGATCTTATCCTGCTTACTTTTTAGATCGCTCATCGAGAATCTTTACAGTGGAAATTGTTAACAAAGGCTTTTCCTGCAGCATTCTGTAAATAAATTCATCTGGCACCTGCTGTAAGGATATCAGACGTTAAACAACACTGTACAGAAATAATCAATCTTCATGCTTATTGTCTTGTTTGCATTCATAGGTCATAAAGAGTCATCAGTATTCATTTCAGTCTGCTTCACAACCAGCAAATAACTCATCGCAGGAACTTTAAAGGATCAATCTACTTAACATCTGCTGACTGAAATGATAAAGTGAGCTTACTTTATGATCAGACATTAAGGAAACATGCTGTGTTGAAGTGCAGCAGCCAGTATGTCCTCCTTCTAACTTTAGATTCTGGTCCTGAACGGTTTATTTTTGTTTGGACCATAGAAGGTTTTGACTTATAAGATGGTTTCTATACTGAGTAGAGCTCTCCAGAACTGCAGTCAAAGTTGTGCTTTGCCTCTGGTCACTTCCTGTCAGCACCTGTGTGTCCAATCAGACTCAAAGCTGATCGTTTGCTCTTACTGACATTGTTCCCTTTTTTCTAGATCCTTGCTTGTGTTGTTCTTACTCTCTGATGTACGTCGCTTTGGATAAAAAGCGTCTGCTAAGTGAATTGTAGAAGGTGGGCGGTTTTAAGGCACCTCAACATAACTGTTTCGGACACCCCTTGGTTTTTATCCAGGTAAACCAGGTGTTGCAGCGATGGAAGCGGGCAAGAGAAGTGGTTCAGACAGAACCGATTCAACCCGACCTAAAAAGCCTCTGTATGTTTCTAATAAGCTCCACGAGCAGAAACGTGCTCAAACTAGGATCAATATTGGAGATGCTTTTGAAAAATGGAGGAAAGTTAGAATGTAGAAAGGTTTACAGACCGATGCAGAGCTGGATAAACACTGAAGCTTCAGTGTTCATGGTGACCTGCGTGCACATTGACTCTAGAGAGGAGGCAGGGTGGGGGACACAGCTCTCTCCAATGTTTTGAATTTGGAGTACTAATTTTAAACACTTCGTTTCAGAGTTACATATCCCTCCTTTAAATGTTATTTGAAGCACAAGACACATTACCTTTTTACTGTTTATTTCCTTGTGACAGACAAGACAATTGACTGCTTGATGCTTGTTTACATTTTCCAATGGAAAAGATTTAAAATGTGGGATATGTTTGACAGTAAAAAGCAGGATTACATTTTTCCTTTTGAAAACACTACTTACTCATGTACAGGACAAGATCAGCAAATAGAGCAAGGGTACCGCTTTGTCCACAGGGGGGCGCCAAATTCATCACAAACCAAAGTTCCTCACAGGAGCTTTAATACTTAAATATTTTACAGATGTGCCTTTTTTTTGTTCAGATCACTATTTAACTGCACACACAACAAACTGGGGACAAAATACAATTCAAGCAGAGTCCTACTAGTTGGTTTCTGAGTGCTTCACACGATATATAATGGAATTATCGCGTCGTCTGCTAAGTGCTCTGTACCTGGTGGGTGCTTAAAGGCAACAGGACACGAACACAATGCATGAGAGAGGGAGTCTGTAAGTGCTCTTAAAGTTCAGTGGTTCCCTGCTCCCCAGTCTTTACAGTACACAGTATGATGATGTTTATCTGACAGGTGACTTACAGCTGTGGCAGGTGGCTCCACTGTATCCGCTGTCAGAGCAGTTACAGTGAAACATGGTCCAGGACTGACTGCAGAGACCGCCGTGCTCACAGCGACTCGGAGAACACCTGAGAGAGAGAGAGAGAGAGAGAGAGAGAGAGAAAGTTTAATGACCCCACAACACCCTGATATACATGCATGTCTGATCTTGATTTATTTTTGCTGTCAAGTCCCCCCCTAAAAAAAAGAGAGAACAATATTTTCTTCTATATACTTTTATACACACTAAGACAGAAGAGTTGAAAATCAATTTGCTTGTTTTGGCAGCTCGAACATTTGGAAACAATTCTTCAGGTTTTTACGGCAGAAAAAACATTTCAAAGAGTACAAAGAAGTCGATGCCAGTAAACCTCCCATCCCTTTATTTTACAGAGAAGTTTCATTGTTTGCTTGTCTGAAAAGATTTCTGGTGGTGTATTTTATGGTTCATCTGATTCATTATAACACCGCACAAATCAATGAGTGTGTTTTAGATACATTGATGTGAAAAGCTGCCTGTGTGTGAGGGTTCAAAGTTTGACCTTTTGTGGTCACTTTTAGAGGTTTTAAAATGGGAGTGCTAAAAGTGTTTTACTAGTAGCGTGTGTAAAGCCTTTTTATTTTACAGAAAGATAGTCTTTCAAATTTGGTTGAAGTTGACGCTCTGTGAACTCCAATCTTTCACCTTTCACACCATAAACACTCAAAGGTTTGACTGTTTATAAAATGATAAACTAGGACAGAATTATCCACTTTCAAGTCACAAAACAAAGAGTGGAGAGGTGGAACAAACGGTGGCTCCACTCTCTTACTCTAGGGGCTTTCACACTTGCAGAAATCTCCTGAAAAACTATTTTTTTCACTCGGACTTCACCCGGAGTTTCTCCTCACTCCTCTCCCCAGATCAAATCAAATCAAAGGTGCAGTCACATGAAGCAACAATACAGTCACTTATATGTTAACGTGTATGCATTTAAATTATCCATGTATCAGGAATACAACTCTTAACATATTGAATTACTCAATCTGCAATTACTTTTACAATTAACCATGTAAATACTGAACAAAAATTATTGCATTCTGACTAGATAAATATCATAACTGCATTTAGGCTTTAGACAGAAAAAGAAACATACAGAAGGGAAGAACCAAGACGATAACTAGCTGTATTTTCCTGACAGGTTGATGCATCTTGTTTGCTTTGTGCTGAAAATATACAAACTGTCTACAAGTTACCTCCACTTCACTTCCTCTGTGTGCACTTTTGTGGAGCTTTGATAAATATTACATTATTCTTAAAGCACTGTAGTTCAAGCAGTTGTTATATTAATCCTGACTTGTCCTCTTTTGAAAGACCTTTTCTACTGATTCTACACACACACACACACACACACACACACACACACACACACACACACAAACAAACTCTAGACAAATTGACCCCCCCTAACCCACACATTCAGTTTGTCATAAGAAGCTCACAGTGATAGCTTCAGACTAACAGTTACTTGCACAGAGACCAAACATTGCAGAGTCACAGATGGATAACCAGCTGAGTCAGACCACAAACAGTCTCATCTAGAGCACACATCCATAGAAATGTCATTTACAGAAACAGCTTCAAACTCCCGCTCAGAGGCTCCCACAGATCAGGGGCCGTATTTACAAAGCTTCCCAAGTACAAATAGCTGCTCATAGTGACAAAATGCTAAGAATCCGGACATTTTCTAAGAATTTCACCTTAAAGTGAAGACTAAATCCTTGTAAAAATAAAAGTTATTCACAAAGAATCTTAGCCCTTAAGAGACCTCCTAAAGTGAGACACTGTTAAGAGTAGTGAGGAAGACAGAGAGAGGTGATCACGCAAACCAGTACAGCTCTGTCACAGCCTCATATTAATATACGTAGCACAGCTTCCAGCATGTTAAATTAACACAAGTAAATAAATATAAGGAAGGACTCGCACACAGAGAACAAAAGGAGAACAGGCGGGAGTCTTGATTGAGAACATTGTTCTGATAAACTATATGCAATTACAGACTAATATTAGGGGGGAGGCATACATGTGGTTACCTGCAAAGGTGTGTCTCATCACTGATTAAAGGACTTTACATGCTGATGATGTAAGGATTGTTGCGTTCATGTTTCCTCAGATGGTCCCAGTTTCCCAGTCGTGAAGTCGTTCTTCCGATTTCAATGTGTTTATGTAATTTCAGTTCGGAAAGTCAGATTCTTGTAACAACAGCAAAAAAAAAAAAAACAGCTAAATGTTACGAAGAAGGTGTGTGGACTGTCTCTGTTACAATTTATATTTGAGCAAAAAGCCTGAACACCACGAGAATGAAGAGAAAGAATGAGACATGGGTGGGGAATGGTAAATGGACTTGAGCTTGTCTAGCACTTTTCTAGTCTTCTGACTACTCAAAGCGCTTTTACACCGCAGGTCACACCTACACTGATGGTTGCTATGTAGTGAGACCATCAGAAGTAACTAATCCCATTCATACACATTCATACGCCAAGGATGAAGAAGTGGGAACAATTCAAGCCCTCATGCATCACTATGGACATTTTTGTCCATTTGGTCAAATTTTACCCCTTCATCTGGCCATCATTTTGTCGGTGTTAATAATCTTTGACATATCCAAGACTGATTTGAAAAAAAATCCCCCAGCCACCAAATATTTGTTATACGGAAAATAACTCATTTTTGTGTTTTTTTTTCTTAAATAACAACAGTGACATCAAGTAATCAAACTGGTATTTAAAGGGTTAAATTCCTAAAAATGATTGCATGTTTGGTAGTTTTGAGCAGGGCTGAAGTTGTTTAAGAGATGTTTGCAGAAAAAAGTAGAAAAAAATATCAATCTGTTGTATTTTTATGGCGGTTTTTTGGCATGGACATTTTTGTCCTTAGAGACAGAGGGTAGTAAATTAAACTGATGCCTGAGTGTCTTGCACAAGGACACATCGGACATGTTGCTGCAGGAGCTTTTGCATTTTTTTCTTTGTCCTCTGTTCTTTTTGTCCATTTCTTTTTGGGCTCAGTCGGTCACCTCTCAACTGGATGGTCGAGGGTTCGATCCATCCAGTTGAGAGATGACCAACTGAGCCCAAAAAGAAATGGACAAAAAGAACAGAGAAGGAAAAAAAATGCAAAAGCCATATGAAAATGGATGCAGCCATTTCATTAAGTAAAAGAAAATCATCTGATGAGTGTGAATGTTTTACGTTAAGCTAACATTTCTATAAGGCCTTGAGGAGATTTGATATTACTCAGGGGGTTTGAACTTATGAACTAATGTTGTAATGGTGAGTCTCCTCGTGGCTTTGAGCTCCGTTTGTGTCTTAAAGGAGTATTTGATCTGGCTTATAATACTCTGTGCTGCTGGCAACAATCATAAAACACACTGCAGATATAATAACCTGCTCTGACGTATGACCGCCACATTGAAGCTGTGTCATTGAGTCCATTTTCCAGCCAGCTTTACAGCACAGTGTATCCCATGGGCCTAAAATTCAATAAGCAGGATTACAGCGAGGGAGCATATGGTAGATTTTTTTACTCTCTCTCTCTCTCTCTCGCTCTCTCTCTCTCTCTCTCTCTCTCTTTACTGAAAACAGCTTTTAAAATCATTGTATTTCAGTGTGCAGTCAGATCTGTGCAGGAAGGCTTTTCTGCTGAATGATGATCTGATTAATGCAGATATTTAATTAAAATCACTCGAGCAGATTCTCCCTATCTTGCAAATAAACGTGTTTCATTCAATGTTTGTGCATATGTTGGTGCCGCCTGCATGCAGTTAACTGTATAGACGGCGTGTGTGTGTGTGTGTGTGTGTGTGCGTGTGTGTGTGTTTGTGTACTGTTCCCTTGAGGAGGGTTTTATAATTGCTGTAATTGTCTCATTAATTGTGATGCTATTTTGCATGACACAAAAACAGCAAACGATCTGTTCTGCTCTCTCTCTCTCTCTCTCTCTCCCTCCCTCTCTCTCTTTTTCTCCCCCTCTCCCTTGGTGTCTATGCCTGATAGGAACGATAACAGCAGCAATGTTTATTTAGTTATACTTTCATTTATTATCTTTTCATTGTTGACTCACCCTGAACATTTCAGGTTCAGTTTCTTCATGATATGTACTCTTCTAGTCAGTTTGACAATACATGTCAAATTCATCCATTCATACTGATGGCAGAAGATCCTACATATAGTGCCTGTCAGTTTTAATTCCATTCTTACACATTGACAGCTGTTGGCTATGCTGTGCTGATAGTTTTTGGGGTTCAGCGTTTTTCCGATGCAACCACTCCCCCAGCTACATTTCTGACCTCCTCGTACCATATCCTACCCCTCGTCTACTCAGATCATCTAATCTTGGCCTTCTTTCCATCCCCCGCTCTAATTACAAAACTAAAGGTGATCAGCCAGAGTAAGTTCACAAAAGCTCCTTGCTGCATGTCCCTACCAAACCACCTTTTCTGTCAATCTTCAACTGTTGCCAACAGATGTAATTTAACAGACAACAAGTATTCTGTTGCTTTGATTTGAGCTTTTATATCAAAACCAATGACAGATTGGTATTAACATCTATATTCTCCAACTATCGAAGAGGTTTTTTTTTCCTCAAATGTAAAATGTCTGACTCTTTAAACCATCTCTTTGATAGGAGAAGAAATGCTCAGTATTTTTTTTTCCCATACACTAAAACCAATACCCTTTTTCTGCCTTTTGTCTTTTTCTTTCTTCCTGTTTATAGTCAGTATCTTCACAGTCGGTTAATTTCTAGATGTCGATGTGGTCTATGCACAATTCTAACCCGACTTTTATACAACATAATAAATCTCTATCCATAAAGACATCGCTCCAATGGCAATTATATTTCTGTCATGGAACTTGACGTTTTTTTTACCCACACATTATTGTAATTGCATATAGCCTGAGGTGCCAATCAAAGCCTGAGGTGCCAATCAAAGACAGACAAATGGAAAAGAGAGAGACAACAGCTAATATAACTACATCTGAAGACTCAAACATATCTGTCAAAATGATGGTCTGAAGTCTGCTGCAAAAACAACCTTCACATTTTCAAGAGGGGAAAAAGAGCCTTAGATTTGGATGTGGCTGTATATTACACATGACTGGATTCTTGTGGAAACAGAACCAAAACAGTAGAGCTAACTGCAAATATCAGTGGAAATACAATCCTCACTCCACTGTCTTCATTTAAAAAAAGTTTTAAATCCCGCAAGAGAGATTCTCTGAGTTGGTGTGCAGGCTCATTGTAGTTTTGAGTGTATCTGTTTGTATCCTGGAGGGGTTTCTCTCTTAAATGCTGCCCTGCTTCAAATCACACACATGTTACACAGCAGGAAAGAAAAATGTTTTAAAGTAACAAAGAATTGCCTCTTACAAACTGTTATACAACAAAAACATTCAATGACCAAAGCAACAAACTCAACTCAACAAACCAACTAAGCGTTCCTCTGTTTGACAAAACAACAATCGAGCTGCGACTTTCTGTCAAATCACAGTTTTATTTCTTGAAGTTATGTGGAGAACGTTGACATTCCATTATGGCCTCTTCTCACTGACCACGGCCATGTCCACTTTTTTCAATTCCTCTTCTTTTTCTTTCTATGCACATGAACGCCACTATGGCAAGAGCTGCTTTATGCTGACCGCCATGGCAACCTCAGCTTGATGAGGTCGACGCACATTGCTTATGCCTCATATCCTTCAATGACAAGGTACCTCATCACACAGGGGACATGCATGTGATATCCAAGATTATGAGATCACTGTCACAGTGTGACGTTCAAGAAAGTAGTAAGATTCCAGAAATCTCACAATATAATGTTTCATCACAGTCAGTCAAAGTTTTCCCATGTCTGTAGATTAAATACGGTAGGATAAGCAGCAACTATATTTGTATTTTCTCCAGGGTTTGTGTCCAGCACTTAATCACATCACCAGGATGGCCAAGTGGTTAAGGCGTTGGACTTAAGATGCAAAAGCATCTCATGGGTTCAAACCCCACTCATGGTAACTGGTACAAGGAAAGTGATAACTGATTATTTGAAACTGTTAGATGAAAGTAACATTGGGTTTCCAATGATGGGGTCTCACTAAAATGGTATGTGGCTATGGTGAACTGGACCCATAGTATTGGGCTTGAGCCGAAGACCTTAGGTCCATTTCCATGTGTCTTCAAAGTACAATTTGTAAGTTATTCAGACACTTCATGAGGCGGTCTGTTGTTGATTCCATCCTCCATTACATTAAACTGATTCATTATCTCAACAAGGTATTAACACCTCTCACAACTATGTTCCTGTCAAATAAAATAAAAGTAAAGAATGGCCCTACCCAATATAATACCCAAAGGTCTGTGGGACAAAAACTCTTTTGGTAGGATATCAGTGTAATTCCTGTTGTTAACTGTTATAATGTAATCAGGATGGTTCAATGATTCAAGTTTTAGACACAAGATCCAAGGGGTTTAAACTCCACTCCTTGTAGTTGAATAATAAGGAGCCTAAAAACTGTGCACAGAGAGGGTCACATTGTTGTGTTCTTTGATGCTGGATCTCCTGAATATTTGTACCAAAGCGAGACTCGTTTAAGAAAAAAAGTTTTCCCATGTCTGTAGATCAAATACGGTAGGATAAGCAGCAACTATAGTTGTATTTTCTCCTGGGTTTGTGTCCAGCACTTAATCACATCACCAGGATGGCCGAGTGGTTAAGGCGTTGCACTCAAGATGCAATGGACATAAGTTCTCGTGGGTTCAAATCCCACTCCTGGTAGACACACAGCATTGATTGCTGAAACATTTACACACAATAGGTCCTGCTCAAAGCTTAATGTATCTGCATCAATGTTTCTTTGCCAAAGTGAAGTCTCTTAAATCTGATGGTGATTTAGGAATATCTTCCTCCATGATTGACTGATAACCTCTGGTATCTATGTTACATAATAGGCCTTGATAGTGTCAAAGAAGTATGCCGTAGGTTCTTGATTGATTGAAAATCCAATGGCCACTAGGCAACAAGAGTACTGTATGTTTTTTTTAACACATATCAGAACACATTTTTTGGAGACTCACCTGTCATGGATTCCACACATGTCAATCTGCAGGTTGTTGTACACTCCCAGCTGCTTCTGCTGCACCAAAATCAATCCACGTTCTGGTTTTCCAGAGTTAAGAGACGCATACAGCCCTGGAAGACATTGAAGGGGTTTCTGCACTGCTGACTGTCCTCTTCAGCAGGACATCCTGAAAAAGGAATTAGAGACAAGAAAATTACTATTCAAAATGTGTTTTTAGAGGTGAGCTGACTCATTTACAGTACAATGAAATCCAGAAATACTGAAAGGCAAAAACAGTTACACAGTATAATAAATATGAATTTTACCAATAATTGAAAATTCAACTTTGTATGATGGAGAGAAATCCACACTTACACTGAATAAAAAATATTTAATGAATCTATCTTTTGATCTTTCAGATCATTTGAGTATTTATCTACTTCCACATGGCTGTTAAGACTTAACAGGATTTAATTTTAAAGATGAATACAGTAGACCCGTCTCATTTTTACCTCCAAAAAAGACCTGACTTTCTATGGCGACAGGGAATGAGGGGCTGGCTTGAGCGCTGCCTCCATCCTCTCTATCCACAGCGATGCTCAGACGGCCTCGTCTTGAAATTAGCTCCACTGAATGCCACTGACCGTCATTCAGGGCGGAACCTGCAAACCAAAAAAATCTATCAACAGTGAAACACACTGGGTAATTTAATCCCCAACTATTTGTTTATGGATGCACAGTGCACATTGATCTATTTAAATCACATATTTGACCTGACACACAAGCTCCCAACTTCCATCTAGAAACAGTAATGTCATGTTTTTGTCCTACTTTGATTGTATTGAGGAGCTTAATCAGGAAAAGTTTAGCTTTACTTGCTGATCTGTGCACGATTGGCTGCTGTTGGGAAGCAGAGATGCAAATAGATTGCACAAGCCATCAGGAGTAGATGAGTGCAGATCACACAGCAGTCTTCTTTACATCCTGCTTCCTTTGTTTGTTTCATTGACCTGCAACAAGTGCAAGCTGGGCTGCACCAGCTGTGTCAATCTGTGTGTTCTTTGGAGTTGAAGGAATAAATCAATATCTCATTATCTCCTCTATTTTTCTTGCTGACTACTTTGCTCAAGAACACAAACGAGTCATCGTGAAGTGCCATTGGCTGCTCAGCAGTCTGCCATAGTGATGTGACCAGAGCTTTGGAAATGAGCACTCAGGCTGTTTGAGGGGCAGGGGTGAATTCGGCTGCACCTGTGTAAAGTCATGATAAACTTGTGGTGAAATGCAAATGGTTTTATAATGTGACTACAAGACACATAATGCAGTATGACTGATGCACCACTGTGATCCAAAATTACAATTTGACCTCGGGAGGGTGACATTTTTAAAGCTTTCTGTTTTAACCCAGTAAAAAAATGTCACTAAAGCAAACGTGCCTGGCAGGGATAGGGATGCTAGTATGCTAAGCTAACTACCTGATCAGCTGTAGAAAATAAGCTCTACGTCCTGACCTAAACACCAGTCCTGGTTGCTAACTGAAAGGTTTTTATACTAATTTTAATTCTGCTGAATACATTTGATGCATGTGACCAGGATGGCCGAGTGGTTAAGGCGTTGGACTTAAGATCCAATGGGCATGAGCCCTCGTGGGTTCGAACCCCACTCCTGGTAATTTGCCAAATATTTCACGCACAAATCTGTAAATATTGGTTAATGATCAACAGGTTAGTCTCAAAAATGTGCCTTGATTTGTGTGATGTCATAAAATCTGGTGTCAGCTCGGTTCTGCTGTTTATTGGAAGTAGCAACATCCTATTAAGAACTGGACCTTTCATTTCATTCCACTCTCCCATATATGTTTAGAAACGTCGATGAAGTCTGAATGACATCACCCATTGGCTTTTTGAGGGCTGTTTTGGAAGCCGAACCACTGCGGTTGCCGTAACTTTCGGTCTATCTAATGGTCAAAAGAGCTGGAGCTGAGTTATCTTTGTATGCCTGGGAGAATAGATAGGTTTGAAAGTATTGGGTTACATTCTTTTTCACTGTTAAAAGTTAAGAAAACATTGGTGATTACAGGAGGTTTTTAGTTGCTTTTGATTGGGCAAAAAAAATACCATTAATGTGACCAGGATGGCCGAGTGGTCAATGGGACAATGGCCCTTGTGGGTTCGAACCCCACTACTGGTAACTTCCTTGACATTTCACAAACAAATCTGTAAATAATGGGTGAGATTTCATCTGCAGGCTGATGGGCCAAAGATTTGCAGCTGAGGTGATCCTTAAACTCAGATCAGCCACAAATGTAAATATGTATCACTCATAAAATCCAAACTGGTAAGTTAGAAAACGCAGTGTAGTTTTTTACACTTTTAAATGGGTGTGTATGTAAACTCCAGGGCTTCTGGAGCCAGCCTCAAGTGGACACTCGATGAACTGCAGGGTTTTGAACTTCTGCATTGGCTTTATTTTTCAGCACTGGTTTAATGTATACCCCTCCTGGGTGCTACCAGAGTTAAAGGTTCTTATTTGGCTTTTGAATTGGCCAAAAAGTGTTCTGAATGCAACCAGGATGGCCGAGTGGTTAAGGCGTTGGACTTAAGATCCAATGGGCATGAGCCCTCGTGGGTTCGAACCCCACTCCTGGTAACTTGCATAATACTGATATAACTTGGTAAGCAAAACTGTCTCTACATGAACCTAAACCATGACACAGAATTCAAGGAATATCTCCAACTTTGTTGCTAAAACATCTGAGTTTAAAGCAACGCACCTGCACTTATCTCCAGCAGCACCCTGCCAGCTTATGGATCTGCAGCCAGAGTCTGGCCTCACTCAGGTACAGCCAGACCATGCCCCCTTCCCGAGCTAACTCAAAGGTGAGCAGAAGCCCCGCCTTGTTCCACGTCCTGAACTGAAACCCAATGGACACGCCCCCAGAGGAGGACGCTGTCGCCGCCGCCAACTGGAGGAAGCTCTGCGGGCCGGGAAACGTCACGGCAACAGAAACCGGCTCAGCACATGAAAAGGTCACATTGCCCTGAGAGAGAGAAACAGAGAGAAGAGAGAGAGAGAGAGGGAGGAGGGACAGAAAGACTGATTACTACGAACAACGTAAAACATGAATATTAATCAGCTGCAGAGGGCGTGTCGATGTGACCCCGTGTCATGATGATCTCATCAGCGAGTCTCCTTAAAGAGGGCACTATAGAGGATTTCCATAATGATAACAGGCTTAGAATAAGATTAGGAAGACAAACTTAAAATACTAAAGTCACCGAGCTTGGAGGTTAAGGCGATAAGAAATAAGGCAGAGCACACAGTAAGCCCACTCCTACAATATCTTGACATCTGTTACAGTCCATTGTCTTGAGTGGTGGTAATGACACCGGGTCCTTTGCTAAGACTGCAGAAGTAATAAATTGAAGCCAAGGCTCTCTGCTGGGAATATCCGTCTGCTATCTTTACAATGCTCCGGAAACACAGATGACATCTAAAAGCCCTTTGTGGTGCAGTTAGAGTGATACACAATAGCTCATGTTGGAGTGGGCAGTGATAGTGCACAACACACTCTTAAAAGTTACCTTAAAAAACCCTCAAAAGTCTACAGCAAGACATGTCAATTCTTCTTCATGCACATTAGTATTTCTTTTTGTATTAATCCCCCTTTGCAGAGCACCATTTAGTCGCTGTATTAAATTGGACCATAACTTTGTCGCTAGCACCTTAAGAGCCACATCATAAAAATTGCCTCGATTAGATCTTCAGCCATGCATGTGGAATCCGTGAACCTCTTTACAAAGAATTCATGTTCTTCTGCGCTGCCCGGGCCTCTACTGTAATGAGAGAACATTTATTAGTCCCCTGCAGAAACGCTTCACAGCCCTCTGCCTGATGAGCTTGCTCCCGCTCATTGTGAATGTAGAAACATCTGAAGATCCTAATAGCCCAAGATGAGAAGACATTAGTAAAGAGTCTAAGAAGCGTCTCCATTCCTTTGTTCTGGCTTCATTTAACAGCAGCAGCACCATCAGGCAGCGACTACACTGCCTGAGTGGGGAAGCCAATATTTCACCACTTAAATTGAATCCCAGAAGGAAAAAAAGAGGGGAATACAACACACACACACACACACACACAGGGGGATTACATTTACACTAGCAGGATCAATAAAAAAAAACAAGTACAGAAGAACAAATCAAACGATCCTTTCACTTAAAACTAAATAAAACACAACCCACGAGATAGTATCACAGAGATATTCACGCTGCCCTGTAGTTCAGTAAACACTGTGTTGAATAATTGGTAAGTGTTTAAAAAAAACAGGTCACAAAAACAACAAGCAGAATACTCGATGAGAATATGAATGTCCAAAAGGAATTTCATGTGGCTGATGTTTTTGTGGCTCTTGTCCTGTAATTGATGCTCTAGATAAAAGGCCACCAGCCCCCCCCCCCCAAAGTCCTAGGCCTAGCTGACACTTGTGGGTATCCTTTCATGACAACAACAGATTTAAACAGGAGTGAAAGTGACTATTTAACTTACCATTACTGTAACTTGGTGGTATTTGTGTTTTACTAGCTCTATCAGGTTCAGGCCGTTGAACTGCAGGTTTTCCAGGCAGCCATGGAAGTTCCTCTTGGAGGCGATTTGTTTCTGAGAAGCCGGACTCTGAACTGCGCCTACACTCAGCTGTATGGGGGCAAAAACATACAGACATGTCCAGAATGTAGGGTGTGTTTATGATGATCTAAAATATTGTAGACTCTGTGTGTTAACTGGTTTTCCTCTGGGTTTTATCCCACCTGCTTGATGTCCCAGTGGCTGAACTCTGCAGGGATTTGAACCCTCTCTGTGTGTTTGTCCACCGTGAGGTTGAGGTGAGAGCTGCGTCGCTCGAACGCCAAATGGTGCCAGTGCTGATCATCTAACAAGCTGCCGATGGAAGCCAGCCGCCGGGGCTCAGAGGATGGAGTCCTACCTGGAAAAAAAAGAAGCGTTTTAGAGCTTTAAGATGGTTTCATTTGTTCACGTCTCTGTTGGTAAAACAAAGGAGCACCGGGCCATCAAAAGCTTCTTTATTTTGAGGAATGTATTTAAATTTTTCAGGATATCCCAAAGAGAGGAGAAAACAGAGGTTAGTCTCCCTCATTGAATTAGGGAATCTTGGATAACTAGACGCTGAGAAGGAAAGCCAAATATGTAATCATTTTCTGCAAAGGAAACAAAGTGAGACATCGTTAATGATAGATGAGCACAAGACTGTACAAATTAGCCGAGCCACTTCTGCATCCCCTGACGTACCATCAGAGAAACTTTGTGATTCTGCAGAGAGAAGGAGCCACAGAAAGAGTCACGTACAGTCCAGCATTAAAAATGAACAAGATATTCTTTAGGGAGAACTTCAAAGACGGACACAGTTTAGAAGATGACGGACAAATGTACATTTGATATTTTTGCCTGTCTTAAGTAGATAAATATTACTGCCATTTGGATAAGAAAACGTCATCCGAACAGAGAAAGCAGAGACACAGCAAAAAAAGAGGGAAGTCTGTTTTGTAGCTATATTTTAGGTGATGATTTATTAGATCACAGTCCGCGAGTGGAAACATTTTAATCAATATGGCAGAGATGATGGCGAGACTTAAAAACAAATAAGATGTAGGCGGGAGAGTAGAGTGTGACAGGATCTTCAGGATGATTTGATTACTGATGAAACAGCTTGAAACAGAGATCTGGAATCAATAAAAGAGGTCCAAGAGCAAACACATACAAAATGAATTGATCATAACATCCCAAGTCCTCACTTTCCTTTTTGATCCATGTTGTCGTCTATCTATTTTTCCCTCTCAGTTTGGTGCTTTAGCAGCATTTGAAGCCTTCATATTCTAATTAAATACATTGTGATTGTACACGATGTTTTTAGAAAGGGTAGTCAGTAGTATTTTTTATTCCTGGGACTGATTTTGGAAAAGTCTTGGCTTGTACTGCAAAAAAACAAAACCCATGTGTTAGGCCCACTGTCAATGAGTCCTTGAGCGAGACTGTGATATGAATTGTGAACGGGTGGGTCACCAGAAATCAATAGGTTACTTCCTGAGGGGACCGTGAATGTGCTGCGAAAATATTAACAAGCTCCGGGGTCAGCAGATTTAAAAAATTTAAACATCAGGGTGGTGGTGGTACAGAAGAAGGGTCGTGGGGTCTCAACAAATCGAAACATTTTTCATCTTTGGAGCATGCACATGAAATTTGGATTACATACTCTATATGTGCTGCATGCCTTGAGCCAGTGAGAAATCCAGGAAATCTGATTTTTGCTTCTGAACGAGGAGGTCTGCTGCTGAAGGACAGTAAGTATTTTCATCAAACTCTGACAGCAATTTCTATGACTTTAGAGCAGAGAGGACTGGGTATGTTTGGGAGCGTCAGTCTTGCAGCCTCTGCTGAACTCTTTCTACTTTCTTTTTCCAAAGTCACATTGTATCTTATATTGTCTGCAATTTCACCGAAGCTGTTCAGTGCGACTCTGAGTCTGATATCACATAAAGACAACAAGGGCCCTTATCAGAAACTGCCTCCACTATCACCTCAAAACATGAGTTTCAATTTGCACACGCTCTTCTGAAGATCAAAAATTTTAGTAGGTTATTAAGATGAATCCATTTATTTTTCTGAGACTTGTATCTTTCATCGAATGCCTTGCAGTTTGAACAGGATCATTAAAAGAAGTCTGCTGTCGAAGGTTCATCGTCTATAAATCTCTTTAATAGAGACATTTGTAAAGATGCTTTTCCTGGGGTAGACACGTTTCCCAGCCTGCACTGTGAATCAACTTAAGTTATGTTATTACTATACAACTGTTAATGTATATGCTGAAATACACATGTTTATGGTGACACCATAAACTACTAGGTTAGCCGATTGGTGAAGTTACTGGACTTCAGTTCCAAGGGGGTTAAATCCCTCATGGGTTCAAACCTGACTCCTGGTGATTACATATCAAAGAGTCACCACCCTGTTGAAGGAAATCAAAGTTGCAAAGTATCCTTTCCAAACAGATCCTGGAAGAGCTTTGGGGGGTAAATACAACTAGACAGAATGAATGTCTTTTAAATTGGATATTACAACTCAGCTGATAGCTTCTTCCATCTTAAAAATAATCAGAAATTTGTTACAACAAAATAAGCCAAAGCTGAAATGATTTAGTTTACCTCCACGTACTACGACATCAGTGTTCATTAAAGCTGAATTATTTCTAAAATGCATCTGTTTATATGCTTTGGGACGAAGCTCTGGTATTTGTGCAGGACACTTTTATAACTTTTGATATCAAAAAACAAAAATGTGTCTCAATAAATGGCAAGGGAATATTTGACATAAAGCAACACAAGAGGAAATAGGTTGTTCTAAGCCAGCAATGATACACTTCACCGACGTGACACTTTGATGAATGTGTTGAAGAGGAGCATCGTTTTCAGTAACAGACATAAAGGTTTGATTATAGATGTTTCATCGTGATCCGTCAATTTAATTGTCATTGTGTTCTTGTTGAATTGAACGCCTTGGTGAGATTATTATTGAATTTACATGAATGTTTTAAGTGTTTAATACACCAGGATGGCCGAGTGGTTAAGGTGTTGGACTTAAGACCCAATGGGCATGAGCCCTCGTGGGTTCAAACCCCACTCCTGGTAAAGTGGTATCTTTAATCAAACAAAGAACCCTCCTGGTAGATTGTGACTATTATGCAAATATCAGAGCAGTGAAATTTTGCCTTTAAAAACCTCAAAGGACAGAACCAAGTTATGAACTCGCTTTGATACGATGTACTGAACTTCCACTTTGACAAATCTAAAGAAGGAAGGTACACTTATGGAGACAGACAACAAGACACACTCACATTCAAACGGAAGCTGATTTTTAATCTTTTGCATATTGCTTAACCTGCCAGGTCTCTTTTAGAATTAAAAGTTTAGAAGTTTTTATTTAAATCTGGTGGGTGCCTTCCACAAAAACATCTTGTGGTTTGAGATTGTTTTGGATTTATACTTTTAAATCCAGTAAATTCTTGCTGTTTTGTTTTGTTTCCAAAGTTGCTACCCCCCTTTTTTCTTTTTAGACAGGGTAGGTCTATGCCGGCAGACAACAGACTTAGACAACATGAACAAATCATTGAATAATTATAAAGCATGATATGTTATGCTTCTTGTGTTGTAAAGGAAAGCATTGCTGATTGTGTGCATCGCTGTTACTCAGAGTTGCCTCATGAAGCGTAACGACCCCAGGGAGGTCAGTTCCTGGATCTGATGTAAGTGCAACAGAGCAGAATGGTCCATGCATGAGCTCAGGGTCAATGCACAAGGCATATAACCTGAATTACACAATCTGTAACCCAAAAAGGCGTATGGAAATAAATAAAGGGGAAGAAAATAATGGAAGGAGGGCATAGATAGAAATAATGAGAGGAAGAATGATGAAGGGCACTGGACTGAAAACAAAAACAAGCAAAAGGGCTGAGAACCGCGAGGGCATACTAAAATGCCAAGAGAAAAACAAACAAAAAACACTGTTGGATGGATGAAGATAGTACAGTTAAAAGATAGAGAATGGCCTCTTCTGGTGTAGGAACTGGTGATCTGTGGAAGCAAACAACTGTAATTAGGATATAAACAAGGAGGGAAAACAAAAAGGAGTTGTAGGACAGGTAGACAAAGACAAATAAAGAGCAGAGAGTAGACAAGATGTTTGCAGAGCTGCTCTTATTCCCTCTCCTCGCATTGAAGTGGACAGCTTTAATTTTCTCTAAATGATGCAGACTTCGATGCGGACTTATTTTAAGATGACACACTCTTTAAAATTGAACTTTCTTCTGATAGGATGAAAGGCTTTTACTGAGCCTGTTAAAATCAGTAATCTGGCCTTGAAATGCAGTAAGGGTAAGAACTTTCTGTGACAGTTTCTGAGTGATTTTGATCAAATATATCAAATCGATTTGGATGATCATGTGCATGGCTTAATGATGAAAACAACAGGGAGGTATGGTGTGATGAAACCCTACACTACACTACTATCACTAAACGTCCCTGACGTCCAGCCACCACCATCGGGCTGCTCTGTCCCAACAACCACCGCCGTCCTCATTCATGCACGTCCTGCTCCGACCTCCACCTCAGAGACAAGGAAGTGTGGACAACAGGAACGCTATGAATACAAAGGAGAAATCCTCCCTGCATGTTATCCAATCTCCCCATTTCCCATTTTCCCGGGTAACATGACAATGAGTACGATATTTCACCTGCTTTTTTTTACTTATTAATTGGTGCTTTACAAATAATGATTGATTGATTGATGAAACTCTGGGTAATGTTAGATGGAGGAGGAGGAGGGGGGAAAGAAAACAGTAATATGGAAAATGTAAAAGTTTTGGCAATTTACACTCAAATACACAACTCTGAATCATGATATTACACAGATAGCTCATACTGCATGCCTCACTAGCCAATGATTAGTCACAAAGGATTGTATGCATGTTTTCTATGTATCCTAGAAAATTGTGCAAAATGTGTAAACTTAAATATTTAAATGTATTTCAGGTAAAACAATGATTAAACAATACGCAAAAAACATGGGTTCTATTTCGGAGATTTGGCATACAAGCAGTGATAACTGAACATCCCTGACCGTTTTTTTTACTTGGAAAAAGTTATTTTTATTTTTATTTTACCGTGTCTTCAGTGAGACAACATGTATACATGACAAACTTTCTTCAAGAAGCATTGCCACTCTTTTATGTGTTGCCAATCTATCCTTGCAGGATTCAGGCTCTTTGTGAGAGTTGGAGATAACTTGGCGACAGACTGCGGGAAAAAAAAATAAAAAAATAAAATGGATGAAAGAAAGATGGATGAAGGAAGATAAGGATAAAGGCTTGGGAGAATATTTTGAAGAAAAAAAAGAAGCCATATGGTAGAGAGGTAGACTAAGGGAGAGATAAAAAAAAAAAAAAGATAGACAAGAAGATGGAAAGAGGTGTGTTTTGGGAGATATGAAAGTCAAGGAAGAGAGAGTGAAGGAGGCAGAGGGATGTAGAGGGAGATGAGGAGGGGTGGGATGGATGAAGAAGGGATTTCAGCAGCCATATGGGGTCCCTGAAGAGAGGTGAGCCATATGGTGATGATTCAGCATGGCAGCCTGACAACCTCTGGTTTAACCCCGTTTACACACGCACACACACACACACACACACACACACACACACACACACACACACACACATTAGAACACGCAAACACACACACACACACCTCTGTACAGACTGTGAGCCATGAATCAAGTCCTGCAGAGTCCGGCCCTAACACATGCTACCACGAGCGGGAACCATCCATCATGACTGTAAGCAGACAGCAGCAAGGTGTGAGCCAAATTTAAACCAATCAGGCTGCAGCGTGCGTGTTGTCTGTCTCCACCCAACCACGACCAATCTAAAGTTTTCTCAGAGTGCTTTATGCTGTCCTCCATCTTATACAGATGTTCTGCACCCGAACAATATTTAAAGAACATAATGACTTCAAAAACTAAGAATATCATTTCTCAGGTAGAAAGAGCGAAACCTGTTTGTTTTCTGGAAATGCTAATTATTAAAGTTTCTAAAATGAGCCATTCTTAACATGTTTTTTCTTTTAACTCTCATTACATTTTAGGATTTATGAATAGGTAATAGTATCTTGCGTGTTGTACCTTTTCTGAGCAGCAGCAGCAGCTTTCCTCTCTCTAACTCCAGACTGAGGCCGAGTCCTCCCTCTCCCTCTATGTGCAGCAGCGTCCCAGAATTCCTCAGGGTTTTGAACTGCAGAGACATGACATCTCTGGACGTCTGCCTCGTCCCGGGACTTAACTTGAACACCAGACTGCTGCTGACGCCGTCCAGACTCATGACATCAGACGCTGAAAGACAAAAAAGTAGATGACATCATTGCAGGGCCTGGCTTACACCATGGCGTAGTATCCCAAAATAAAAGAAACAAAATAACTTTAAATCTAAATATGGCAGCAAACTGACATCTATTAATAACATCTATGTGGGCCATATATTATCTACCCAAAATGTTAGTAATACCTGCAGAAAAACACATCTTTCTCATCATCAACATGAATTCAGCATCATCTTGTCCTGACATAAAATCAAAATTTGACTGACATGTTGGTGAAGGAAGGGGCGTGGCAGTAGATGCCTTTGTCAGCAGCTTATGGAAATAACAAGATAATCATGTGTCTTAAATGAAGCCCACTGTGAAGGAGGATATGTGATGTATTCATTTGTATATTCAAAGAAAGATAGATACAGTAAAAGTAAGTATTTCCATTAGAGTAGCCGTTACGTTGATTTTGGGTTGTTCAAGATTAAGTGAAAAACATATGGTGATGGTGAGCATGTAAAAAGCAAAGTGTGAAATGTAGTCATTTCCATTGTGTTGATGCTGGAGAGTTTGTACTGCAAATCTGTTGTGAAATACACAAAGCAGCTCACTGCTCACTGCTCACTGGAGTTTGGTGTAAAAAAAACGCTCATTGTTAAAACAGAGGAAACAGCAGTTGGCAGAAAGCCTTTGTGTTTTTTTTTCTGTGTGTGAAAATGAGATAAAACAACAACACGTAATTAAAATCACAAACACTTTGACTGTGTGCGAAAATTAATTTTTATGAATGTTAGTCGGGGAGAAAACATGTTAACCTTTTAAAAGTTTCTCTCCACACACACACATTCAATTTTACCAGATGCATGCCAATACCTTTAGCATCGTTGTACTTTATAAGGTGTTTTATATAAAAGAAACATTTCTATTATTGGCAAAATACTAATTTTGATTAATAAATGCCATTGATAAATTGATCGCCATTTAGATTGGAGGCATAAAGCAAACGTTGGAAATAACTTTAAAGTATATACATCCATCCATCCACCCATTATCTTTACTGCTTTTCCCACATAAACTGAGCACAAGTTGCTTCACAGTGGTGTGAGTTTCCATACCAAGACCACCTTAAAGCGAGCCGCCCCATCTGTTGACCCTTCTGAAAATCCCTGAGAGTAAAGTAAGGCTGGTTAAAAAAAAGAGACTCACTGAAAGGGCATCCATAGGTCTCCAGCCTGAGGCCGATCCTCCCGTTGGGGTTCCAGTCCAGAGGAATGAGACGGAGGAAGCGAGCGATCACGGGCTGCTGCAGTTTGTACTGAACCACACTGTCTGCATTATTGTTACCTGGAAAAGACTGAAAACACAAAAACACATTGAAAATATGCTCCCTGTCTCCATTTGATGACACATAAGATCTGCTATGGTCTGCACAAGTCACCAGGATTGGTTCAAACCCAACCCAACCCAAATGTTAAGATTGTTGGCTAGGAAGATTAAAAAAAACCTTGTGCTGTGGAAGCTACTTTAAGGTAATCTCTGATTTAGCGCAGCCAAGTGAATGTATTTGTCACGGATGGCTGAGTGGTTAAGATGTTGGACTTAAGATCCAATGGGCACAAACTCTTGTGGGTTCAAACCCCACTCCTGGTAAACTGGTATCTTTAATCAAACAAAGATCTGTGCCAAGAACTTTAGTAACAACCATGACGCAGGCCCACACTCGTAAGGAAAGGCCTTTACTGAATAGAGGAAAATCACTGCAAACAGGAAGTCTATGTTGATCTTTGTATCATACTAAATGGCGCTTTATGGATCTCGTAGGGGGTCAGACAAAAAGAAGATGGAATATTGCATAGTTGACATAATTCATTACCTCCTAACAAAACAGCACACTCTCAGGGTTCACATCCTATTTGAAACCATGCAGTTGCAGCCCAAAACAAAAAAGAGGCCTACTGAATATATTTCATCATCCCTGATGAATTAGATCAGCCAAATAAAACCTTCCAGAAGTCACCAGGATGGCCGAGTAGTTAAGGCGTTGGACTTAAGATCCAATGGGCATGAGCCCTCGTGGGTTCAAACCCCACTCCTGGTATCTATTAGATGATATCTTTGATCAAACAAAGTTATGTAACAAATATGATATTACTAGAATTATGAATTGCAAGCATGAAAATCATTGTCGCTAGAAATGTGTGACTGATGAAGGGGAAGAAAATCTATGACTCTAAGATACTTTGGATAACTTTAAATATTTTCATATTCAGGGTTTTGATAGATACATTTTTTCATCTTTCAAAACATAGAAGCTAAATATATCAAACAAACATCACCAGGATGGGCCGAGTGGTTAAGGCGTTGGACCTATATTTGACCTAACAATGATTTGCAAGAAGAAGGTCAAGAACTTTGGGATGGATTGATACAACTATACAATTATATTACAGAGAGAAAAACAACAGTGGAAAACAGCGAAAGGAAAATAGTGGGTGAGACATATCTACCACATTTTGGATTCTGATGGATTTGTTTTATTTTTTTATTTTGAATAGAAAAGCAGCTAAAGAAAGTCACCAAGAAGGCAGAGTGCTCAGTGCATCAGACTTAAAATCCAATGGGTACAAGCCTCTGCACATGATAAAATCTGACCAACGCAGATTCAAGTGCTCCTTGTATTGCTGTTCATGGATTGGACTTCAATGTTTAGCCCCTACATTGAGAATAACTGTTGGCTGTCTTGTGCATTTTGTTGCGTTTGTTCCAAAACTTTACAGGAAAGCATCGCTGTAAATCAATACTGAACTGAGTCATCAGCTTTATTCTACATTACAAAGAGCGGATCCACAGTGCATGACAGTCTCACTGAGTGGTTTGATGAGTTTGAAGAATGAATCAGAGGCAGTTGGCTTTGCACTTAAAATGTCTTTCTTGATTTCAGTTGATGAACTTTTCTGCCTCAGCCAAGCATAACATCTTTAAATCTTAAAATCTTTTTCATCCATTAGTTTTGTTGCCAAAATTAGAAACCCACTTTCTTTAGTAGTTTTCTTACCACTTTTTGTGCTCCAATTTTTTTTTTTTTTTTTACAACTGAATCATATTCCTTGGTCAGTCTATATCAGGAATAAAACCTCAAAGCATTTGATTTAATTATCGAATTATTCAGATAAAAATGCTAAGAATTCTCCAGATCCACTTTGGCCTAATTCTAAGGATATGAATCTTTTTCTGCTTCATTTCAATTTAAACTCAGTTTTGTTCCGTCCACAAATGATGGAAGCAAATATTTGTTTTTACATTCACAAACAGCATCTCAGGCTAAAGGAAAGTGGTATGTGGATTTTCGGATACCTAACACTTTAGATATTCAAGCCTTTTTGTCTCTTGTTCTGGATTCACAAGGAGATTTTTCTGCTGATATTTTTCAGCTAAAGAGCAAACCCATCCTCCGTCTGCCTCTGCTCTGACTCTGGGCTGACTGATAAATGCCTGATTGATCACTCTTCTCATCTCTCTCCATCTCTCCCATCTGGCAATCTATCCTAATTACATCTCTGCCTTGAAGTTGACATGCAGGTTAACTGGCTCTCCCAATGCAGAAGAAAAGCTTTGACACATAATTAACTCGTTAATTCCTATCTAATCATGAGAAATTGAGAGTTGGACCTCCTCATTTAATGCAGAGAGCCGTTTTGTTGTAACGTTTAATAGTCTTATAATAGAGCATGTTACATGTGTGCTTGAAAGTGTGTGTCTGGAACTTCCAACTTGATTATGTTTGCATAAAAATATTGTTTATAGCTAACTAACTAATAAGATTCACAGCAAGATCCACAGAACGAAATGTAGTCCCATGGCTGTTCAATGAAACTGGAATAAATGAAACATGAATCGTGTTCATGGATACAAATGTCCCTTTTATCATGTCTATAAGCATTAACCATGCATTACAATTATTAATATATTTCATGCCTGTAGAATGTGAGGTGGCATTAAAGAGCCAATGAAGGTCGTTAAGTTCGAGTTTGGGGCCATGATGGGTCAATTTTAACACAGGACTTGCACACCCTAAGGCTGGAGATATGCTTGCTTTATAACTCCATGTTCACATGAACATGATGGAGTTTTGACTGTGCACGGCCTTAAAAAAACAACTCTACTAAATGCAGTATGCTCATGAGTGGAGGGGGCAGTGCAGAGACATGAGTGGAGGGGGCAGTGTAGAGACATGAGTGGAGGGGGCAGTGCAGAGACATGAGTGGAGGGGGCAGTGTAGAGACATGAGTGGAGGGGGCAGTGTAGAGACATGAGTGGAGGGGGCAGTGCAGAGACATGAGTGGAGGGGGCAGTGCAGAGTAGATATGGTGGCGTCAAAACAGCAGCAGGGACAGAACGTTATTGAACAAGCTGATAGACAAAGTTTGCAATTATCCTCATCTGTATGTTGTGTCATTGCAACTGCACAGTGGCAAAAATGCCTTAAAAATAAATAGGACAGATAAGTTCCATTTAAGAGGTTGATGTAGAAACGGAAATGGCAATAAGTCCAAGACCGTTGCATCCTGTCACAGGAATTTTTTGACATGGTGCCATAGAAGGGTTCTATTAGCTCAAATAACATCTATGTCTGCTGCTGTTGCTTTTTCTGCTGTGAGCTCAGAGTTAACATAATAGTAAGACTCCTCAAGTGTCACCATGTCTGTTGTTTACATCCTGCACTTACAGCAGTTGCAGACAGCTCACTCTCTTGTGTGTCCTCTAGAAGTAACACACATAATGCATAGTCAAGTCTGTGAACACTTGCTTTCATGGTGCAGCTGAGAGTATACACAAATGCAAGGATTTAAAGAAAGTATGCCTTCATCTGATACAAGTTTAAACATTTAATTTAACTTTTTTTTAAGGTTCCTTGAAGTATACTTTTTTACCAAGGCGGCTATCTTTTTCTAAACCTTACCAAGTAGCTCTAGTTTCTAAAAATTAAAAAAAGCTTATTGGGACTGATTTTGTTGATTTGGCAGATAGACTGTAAATACACAAGGATGAATCCTGAGTGACATCACCCATTGGATAATGAAGGGGGCTTTGAAAGCCATGCTGGAAATATACTGTCTCAACCTAAGTTTCAGTCAAACTAACAATCAATCAATCTTTATTTGTATAGCGTCAACTCATAACAAGTGTTATCTCAAGACACTTTACAAAAAGCAGGTAAAAGACCTTACTTATTGCTATATTACAAAGAACAAACAACAGGCTAAAAGCTGGAGCTGAGGCGGGTTTTAAGCATCCTGATGAACAGGTCAGGTCAGCCAGGCGCCTTATTATCAGCAACTCTTATCATTCACAAAATCAAAACAGGTAAATATTCCCCCCACAGTACAGTGTGGGCCGATAAACACAAGAGCTATTCAAGTTTAATTTTTCTTAACCAGGCTGTAAATATGTTTATTAATGCAGTAAAAAAAAGGCATTTTTGAATGGGTGTGCAGCCAGCCTGAAATTGACAATCAGTGAACAGCAGGTTTTTGTACTTCTGCACTTGCTTCCTTTTTTAACACCAGAGGTTTGGCACCAAATTAAGTTGGTTAAGATAATACCTCAACATACTGACTTCTGGATCCACACTGGACTCAAACAACAGCCTCCCGTATGATATCTATCTGGCAGAGCGCCCTGAAGGCTGGCCTGCACGTCATTTATTTCATAGGCATATAGTATTATTGTGCTGACATGTACAAAAAGGCATTATTATTCTAACTGAAACACATTAGTGTGAATTTGTGCTGACTGCTACAAAAAAAGGTAAAAACACATTTCATGTACACAATTCCAAATAATAGATTTTTGTGACCATTACACATTTTTTACGAGTTTGAATAAAATTGCTCACTCAACAGCATATTACAATCATAAAAACCAGCATGCATTAGTTTGGTACGTGTGACTGTATACTGTACATTATGTGAATATAATGCACAGCTGGGAGGCATCAGTGAGATTCACGGGTCATGTAGCAGCTTTTTATAGCACGAGCAGCTGAACGCAGTTGTTTCCACAAAGCTGCTGAACCAGATGCCTACAGCTCAGTAAACAACTCTGAGGAGGGGGAAACATCTGATTATCTTTTACAATCACAACCTGAATCTGTCAAAGTGTTTGTGAAAGACAGAGGGAAGTGCTGAAACATGCAATCTTTTCACACAGAGAGATAACAAGTCCTCCAGCGTTTGGTTCACACATTAATTGCCATGTTTTTTGTTAATGGATCACAGATGCAGTGCTGAGCCTGGGCCGTGAAGTATACCAACGCAGCCTCTGCAAGGGGTCCAAAAGCCCCACCAATGCCTATCAGATTGATATATATGTACATATTGACAACATTTTGTTACACTTTGTTACACATCAGAGACTAATGGTCCAATTGATACACAAGGTGGCAAATTTGAATCATTACAACTCAGTGACATCGTGGCCAAAACAGAGCCACTTAAAATGAAGAGTCGATACCAAAGCGGAGCCCAAAAATGTCACAAAAGGCAAAGATGTGAAGATATTACCTCCAAACGTCCTAAAATAACAGCTTTATTTGGAAAAGTACGTCTTGTCAGCAGTTAGGTGTACGTCTGGCAGGTACGTTTGTCTCACAGCTTTCAGCGTTTACAGCTAATGTTATTGACAGTGGTGGCAAGATAAGCTTAGCCTAGCATGCTCAGGTCTTTTTCAGAATCAGTCATGACTTGGTTCAGCGCTGCTCCCTTTCTTTAGCCGGGTTGGCTGGGGAGGAGGGGCCAACTTTTCATCCATTGCAAGAATTTGAAAAAAAGGGCCCATCAAGATTAGTTGCGGGGTTGCGTCGCATGTTTGCATTACAGGGCTGTGATGAGGTGTGGTCGGATGTTGCCTTTGCAACGGTTAACAACAGCAGAAGTTCTTGTTTTTGTCTACTCTCTTCATATTTATTTGGAGCTCAAAATGTCGAGTTGTTGTTTTTTTTTTCAGCTTACAAGTATTTTATTTACACAAAATGATAAAACTCCTCTGCCAGTCTTCCAGAGATGAATAAGAAGAGAAAACGTCCCCCCTCTACTCTCAGTAAGGCAATAGGCTGCGGTTGATTCAACGGCTACACTAATAACTCTCTCCACTGACAGGCTCTGTAAAAGCTTGGCTCCTTTATAAACAGAAGTTGAGGCACACTTTGAAATGTGACTGGGATTGTGTTCAGTTAATGTAGAGTGTCAAATCAACATGTTTTTTGAAGCAGTGAGGAGCCGTTCTCTGCTCTCTCAGCGCGCTCAGCGCTCAGATTAGCTGGATTCCCTCTACACCAGGAAATTGCCTCGGCCCGCGTTCTAATCAAAAAAAAGCTCCTCTCTGCTCTGCTGTACTAAATGTGGCTTCACTCGAGATAAATGTCTCCGCTCACAGTGGGTTAATACACCATATATTTTCTGAGATTGTGGCACCATTTGCTCGGGCATAAGGCTTGTTAGGAGGAACATATTATGAAGTGGCTGACAGGATTTTTTTTTACTGTGTTTGCCTTTCTGCAGAAAACAGGATCAAATGTTTAGTATTCCTGTGGCTGTACACAGAAAGCATGTAGCATCACTGCTAGGGGACAAAAAGACAGCCCAACATGACACTTGTGTTAGGAGGAAATGTGTCCACGAGGGGAAGATGCCTCACTGCCTCTGCTGTCCATCAGATTCAGTATTACATGGAACAGCTCTGCAGAGACCAGCTGAGTTTTGCACGTTGTGAGGAACTTATGTTAGATCACATCCTTACATTATATAGACCTGCAACTCTGAACAACCTTCCATTTATTGTTTCTCATTTATGATATTTGGTCTGTACGTACAAAGCACTTTTATAGACTTCTGACCCCTCAAAAAGCGTTTACACAACATCACATCCACCCATTCACGCACACATTTCTGCACTGGTGGTGGAGGCTCGCTATGGTAACAGCGGCAACCCAGAAAAGATATGAAAATCTGATGAACAGTAACTTTTGGGGCACCTAGTTCTTTTCCCGAGTTTCCGAGATGTTTTTCCGACTTAAGGGAGCGTTCATGTGCAATTTCAACTCTGAAACTCGTTTTTCCGACGCGTCCGATACCACATGACTGCAGGGTTAGTGTGTGTGTGTGTGTGTGTGTGTGTGTGTGTGTGTGTGTGTGTGTGTGTGTGTATCTCTGGAGGGTGTGGCCTCTTCAATCAAACACCTGGTGGCATCACACACGTGCATCTCATCAACTCTACTCATCACCAGGTTATTCAGTCTACTGAAGTGGTGCCTCCTTAACATGTTTTTCTCCTTTTGTCCAGATTTCACCAGTGTCTTCTCCTCGAGTCTGCTACACCAACAAACAATTCAACACATTCTCCGTCTGCCTACGGAACCAGATAAGCACCTAAAGTCTCCTCCGCTCTGACTCAACCAGTATCAAAGCCAGGCAGCCCTCCACCATACAAGCCCTGCACTAAAAACCTCATTGACCTTTCATTTTTTGCTGCTTTTTTGGGTCTACATTACACAGACCTTAACACAACTTGATATTTCTCAGACAGTGTTTTCCTTTTTGTTTTTAGTATCCAGCCGTGCGTCATGTTGTAACTCACAGTCTCAGCAGCGGGCAAAGTGACACCGTGGGCCGCCTCACTCTCCCGCAACGGTGTCCATCAACAGCAGCTTAAGTGTTTTGGCAAAAGTCCACGCAGTCAGCAAAGCTCTTTGATCAGTTCATCCATTATTAACGAAGAGTCACGGCCTCCTGATGACTGTGATTATCTCCTCGGGGTGGACTGATCTGTGCAGACCTTCTGATGCTGCAGCTAAACACCACAACTACTGTAAACATCGTCCAGGATAAAATGAGCTGTAGTAAACCTGAGTGATGTTATTTCTATTAAATGAGAATACACCTACAGGACTGTTTGTGCACTTAGCTAACAGAACTTAAGGGGATACTTATACCACTGAATGGTTTCATTATCTTTGACATGTTTAACACCATGTAACTTTGATAAAGTATGGTTGAAATACAGATGTGGAGCTATACATAAACTCTGCATGTGCTGCAGTGTGTTGAAGACTGTATGCTGTATAAATCATCTTTATTTTACAGTATTTGACATCATTCTACTGTTTCTACTGCAGCTGAACAAACCCCTATAATGGACTCCTTTCAGGCAGACGATAGCACAAAGTGGAAAAATGCAGACTATTCATCAATTTCAGGGAAACAACAGATTTAACATTTCACACACCAGAGCCGCTCAAGCAGAGGCTTCCAACACAAAAGGGGGTTTCTTGCCAAAAAGCTGAACTTTTTCATTGCTTGTCATTTTATTTTGCTGCTCTCTGAGTCACCAGTCGACGCCCACAGATTCTGTATCCAGAGACATGAGCTGCTTTTGTCACTTTAATGGTACATCTTTCAGTATAGACAGATCAAGCACTGTCTGCTTTTCTTTAATCGTGTATTTCATCTGATACCTAACGAGGCAGGAAAACATTTGTTGCACTCTAAGTATGGACTCACCCCTATGCTGTCCTCCTGTCTGTACTGTTTCCAGTTGTGTCCCGTGTCGCTGAACATCAGCAGGTATGACGTCAGCCAATCGGAGCTGCCGTAGCGACCCTGCGTAGCGACAGCAGTGATCTTGGTCCGCTCGCCCAGGTCGACCTCCAACCACTGATACCGGTCCGAGGTGAGGGGAGACCAGCCTCCGGCTCCTGCAGAGAGAGAGAGAAACAAATTAATGAAAAATTCAATTGATTTCATTCTCACAGTGTAACATTTTTTTTTAAATCACCGGTGTGCATACGTGTCTGAGGAAGTAATTGCTTGACCTTTAAGTCTAAGCTTACATCCTATTTTACTGTCAGGGCCAAAAGAACAAACTCATACAACATTTAAACCAATCTCAGAGCCGTAATGGAGCACAGTGTCAAGAATGTTGATTGTTGTGCTGAAATAATTGGTTTCATTCTGAGACACTGCAGTCTTTTTAAATGTAGGAAAAAAGCTTTTAAATTTTTACTATGTAATCAAAACGTTTCAAAATAGCTTCTTTTTTTTAAACGGGCCATGTTTGAGTCCAATTGTCTTCATAAATGAAAACCTCTTTCAGTTTTGAACATTTCCCACCCAACATGTAAACCTTACTCTTCTGACTTACATGCACTCTGTGAGTAGTTACATACACTAAGATTTTTTCTCATAGTCCACTGCACAGCTCCTACATTGCACCTTTTGTACATTGTGTTTTTTATTTTTACTTTTTATATTTTATATGTAGTATTTTACATTTTTAAATTCTATTTTATATATTGTAATATATTCTTATACTGTATTACTCAAGTTGTTGCTAGTTCTGCTTTATTTCCTTGTTAATTGTTTAGCACCAACACACCAAGTCAAATTCCTTGTATGTGTAAATTTACTTGGCAATAAACCCTGATTCTGATTCTGATTCTGATTCTGTTTCTGATTCTGATTCTGATTCTGATTCTGACTGATTTTTTTATTGGGACAATGCAATCCTGTGTGAAAGGCAATGTGGTGACAGACTCTTCTATCATCCTCAGTAATGTATGGAGTCAAACGGACCTCCATTTATGCTGCATATTTAGTTCATAGCCAACCATTTGACTCCACACATCACTGTTACATTTCAAAAGCCTCACATCATCAATACGAGGCTGCGAGGCCTTCCATTGATTTGCTGCACAGAAAAGCCTGACCACCCTGCACCCCTTTCCCAAAATAGCCCCGATAAAAGGCTGTGGTGTCATCTATTGACAAGCTGGACACTTTCCTTACACGATCTGAGGTTCTTCGCTGTATAGAATATCATCAGTGGGAGCTTGTGGTACCAAGCATTGATTGGTTTAAAAGTAGTACTGCAGGTTTGTATCATTTCTCGTAATACATATCAACCATAAAGAGCATTCTTGTAACGTATCGATCACCTGTATTTGTGGTCAATCAGAGTTTGGCAAATCATGATATAAGTTATTCCAAGAGTGCAGGTTTTCAATAAAGCATCGGCTTTTTGCACACCATGCTTATGTCTTATCCCGAAGTGCTTTCAATAAAGGCCGTGGAGCTATTGATCAGCCGAACACGAGCACATTTTCATTAAATTTCTCCATGTTTTCAGAGACAGAGAAAACTGTTACTAGAGCAAGAAGGAGCCAGAGTGTGTTTGTGTGTGTGTGCATGAATTTGTGTGTTTGGAAAGTGATTTGTCAGGCCAAGTGATGCCTCAGAGCTCCAACGCCAGATGGATGATTCTGAAGGAGGAGGCTGCTGACCGGTGTCCCACTGAGCGCTGGCTAACAGACACACAAATAAAGAGAGCGAAGCACAACAAACACAATCACTGATTCGACGAAAAAAGAGACGGACGGAAAGGCCGCAACAAACACAAACAGTGGGAGTCCAACAGCTCTCAGTATAAACAGTATAAATGCCACTTGTTCTCATGTAACCACGCGGATGTTGGCTTTTCGTTTTAGCAGCAATAAGCACTCTGAAACAAAGCGACAAACAAAGTGTTCAAAGCCTCTACAATACAGGACTGGGTTGTTCTGTCAGCATTGAAGACGATGCAATGCTTACAAAGCCTTTTGTTGTCACACAAATCTTACAGGAAACACTTACAAGACAATTTTGTGTTGTTCTGGTCCAGCAACATCTTATATCGAATGAGCCGACCAGGAAGTGTCAGAACGAGCAACGGTTGAAAAAACAGGTCAGCTCAAGTTTCACCTTCAAGCTCAGCTTCTTTCCACCAAGGTTCACGAGTAGATTCTGATACTGATCCAATCTGGCTGTTAATCTCACGCTCAATTTTACCTTGCTCAGAACCCAAAGCTGAGAACTGTTTGGCTGCAACTCACTCCAGGCCTGAAGGGGGAAAATCCAGACAAATCAGTGAGCTCATTCATGAACTCTGGTAGATCCGGCAGGTACCAACAGATTTTTTATTTTTTCATGGCTTGATATAACTATTAGGCTAAAAAAATATTTAAAAAAGGCTAACCAGGAATCTGTTGTGATAATGCTGATTTATCTCCATCATTCTGAGTTGTTTTGTTTAAATTGGTAATGGGATGACAAAAAAAGTTCAGATGAGGTCATGATTGACAGCTCTGACGACAAATGTGACTCCTTGCAGTGTTCTTAACGCGATTATCGACCAAGTTTTTTGCACAAGCACTATAGAAACATGATGGCAACCTGACTGCAAAACATTTCTTGATTTGGTGAAGTGGCTAAACAACAAGAATAAACATTAAAAAAGGAGGCAATCGTGTACAATTACTCAAAGCAAAGAGGATTGGGAATACAGTATATACAGTATAGATCAAAAGATGACAGCAGGTGCACAGTCCATGGTTATAGAAATTTCAAAGGGCTTGTAGAAATCTCTGCAGACTAAGGCAGCATTTGAAATGTACCTGACATTGACCTATTAGACAAAGGTCATCTCACTTCAATCACAACGATTTCAGTCAATGTAATTTTCTTCAGCAAGAAGCAAATTAAGTCAAGAAAGGCCTTTTTCAAACATCAGGTTTTAATATTTTGGACATCTGAGCAGAAAAGGGTCAGCCATGTTGCAGAGGCATCAGATAGATATTAAGTTTAGTATAAAACTTTAAAGCTCCTGTGAAGCTCTTTGGGTTGCGTTGATTTTGGCGCCCCCTGTGGACGAAGCAGAGTGTCTTAACTTTTACTTATTTTATTGTTTAAATGCGTGGGTAGTGACTGACACAAAATATCATCAGTCTTTTTTTGTATGTCTCATTGCTGAGAAAAATGTGACAAAAAGCTGTTTCTTAGTGCACATCATCTATTTAGACACCTACCCCATGGCAGAAGTTGCAGGCATTAAAAAACAACAATATAGAAGTTGTCAATCTAGTCAATGATGATCTTGTTTGTTTTGTTAGTCATAAAGAGTCTTAAATGTCATTTCCAGGCTGTTCCATAACCACTTAAAAACTCCTCACAGGGGCTTTAAAGTCACATCTGTCTTCTTGATGTACCCGTTGAAGTTATACTGGTTTCTTTCCATTTCAGGGCAATGCAGTTAAAAAAAAAACGTCAAGTTTTCATATTCCCTTATTTGAGTTACCAGTCAAACATGTCTGTGAACAATGTGTGCTGGCAGGTCGAGGAGAAAAAGCTCAGCAGTGAAAATGAATCAGTGTCGGTCTGGTGGCTGCTGGAGTCTGATCTTTGAAGAGCTAAAGGCCAGAGCTAATAAGCACTCGACTAACAGACGTGTCCACTGACAGAAGAACAGAAAAGAAGCAGACGCTCTGACCTTTACTCACGAGCAAAACACTGCAGAGAGAAAGAGGAAGAGAGATCAGATGGACAGAGAAGACCGACAGTGTCCACCCTGTCAGATATAATTGAAACAGAAGTGAGCTGACGGCTGATGCTCTGAACGCTTTCTGTTACAGCTGTCACCTTAAATCAAAAGAGATCTCTGGGGTACTATTTCTCCTCCAGTGTCTATAAAGGTACCAACTTTAACTCTGCACTGAGAAACAGAGTCTGATCTAATGAGGGTCAGAAGTGTGACATCACTGCTCTGCCGGCCATATTAAAAACAGCGATCCCTGCTATGTGAAGGCTTTAAAAATCAAGGCCCGGTGAAACAGTCGCCAGTGTCGAAGAAAAGCTCATTATTTTAAGCAGAGAGCAAAACCATTTTGAATTTCTCTCCTTCAGGCTAATATTGTATGAAGGCTCGGTCACATCTGGTCATCCCACACAAATTACAACAATAACGTCTTATGTAACATATGACTGGTACTGCTGCGTGGTTGATGCTAAGCTACAACAGTAATGGAAACTTTCCTAACAACTGGTGATTTCACAATGAGCCTGGAGATGTGTTGGAGAGCCATCTTGTAGTTTCAGTGTTTTTTTTTGTTATGAATGAAATGTTTTAATTTTCATCAATGGAGGTCAAATTACACATCACAGTAAATCATCAAATTATATATTTTACATTCTTAATAATAATAATAATAATAATAATAATAATAATACATTTTATTTAAAGGCACCTTTCAAAACTCTCAAGGTCACCTTACAGAGCAGAGATAAAAAACAACAAAATAACAACACATCGATAAAATTAACATTAAAAAACACAAAAAAACACAAATGTACAGGATGTAAAGGAGTTATGAGACCGGGTGGAGAATGATCAGACTGAATATGCCAGTTTAAAAAGATGTGTTTTTCGATGAGATTTGAAAATAGAGAGAGAGTCGATATTACGGATTTGTGGTGGGAGGGAGTTCCAGAGGTGAGGGGCAGAGCGGCTGAAGGCCCTGGACCCCCATGGTGGACAGGCGGGCTGGTGGTGCAGTGAGTTGAATGGAAGAAGAAGACCTGAGAGTGCGGGTAGGTGTGTTCATGTGCAGGAGTTCAGAGAGGTTCAGAGGAGCGAGGTTGTGGATGGCCTTGAAGGTGAGGAGCAGAATTTTGAAGGTGATGAGATGTTTAACCGGGAGCCAATGAAGCTGCTGTAGGACAGGGGTGATGTGATTAACAGAGGGCGTTCTGGTGATGATGTGAGCGGCAGAGTTCTAGACCAGTTGAAGTTTGTGGATGGACTTGAGAGGGAGACCAAAGAGAAGGGAGTTGCAGTAGTCAATGCGGGATGTAACCAGGGTGTTGACGAGGATGGCGGTACTGCTGG